AAAGATCGTCTCTGCTGAGTGCTGACAGGATGAGGGGATATTATATGAATGAATCGTTTTTTTACCGATGCAAAGACGCTACAATCGATGCATTGCGAGTTCAACCCAAACTGTAACCGATGTGCACTCTTTATGCCGGTGCACCGATGCGAATCAGTGAATCTCAACATCCCTAGTATATAGGCCTGTCATGATAATTAATGTTGTTGGACGATACATTTTCCTGGAAATTATTGCGATAAACGATAATATTGTCGGCGCTGTTGTAAGACCATTTTAGACCACTGACATAATGATAATATATAATAATAATTCAAGTACATCCTTTCAAACTTAACTTTTTATTGAACATTCAACATTGCAAATTAAATGTGAAACAATATTCAAATATATAAATTATATATATAATAAATAAAACAAATTAATAAAATTATAATTTAAATAAATCACACACAACCAAAACAATACATTAAATAGACTCTGCTGGAAAACAGAGCTCTATCTATAAATAAATATGAGCACACATTGTCTCACAAGCAAAAAAAGCCTCCTTAAAAAAGCAGTCTAGTGGTACAGTCCACTGTCCATTAGGGGTGTAACGGTTCACAAACATTTCGGTTCAGTACGTACCTCGGTTTTTAGGTCACTGTTCGGTACGTTTTCGGTACAGCAGAAAAATAAAAATAAATCACAAAACATAAAATATTTCTTGTTTTTTTAAAAATTATTATTAAACTGTGAATATTCACTCAAATAAATACTAAATATAATAAAACAAACATTAAGGTGCAGCATTTCGATGAACTGAAATAATCTGTATTTGAACTATACTGTACTAGTACCTAAGCAGCCAGTTTGACATTATGACTTGCTTGTCATTGTATTTTCATGTTTTGTTTTTTTTAAAGAAAGATGAACTTGTCCACATTGCTTGCCGAAAGGGCAGATCTGCTGGCACTAACAATGTCTCCTTCTGTGGAGAACACCCTCTCGCTAGGGACAGAGGTAGCAGATACAGCCAGGTAGCGCTTTGCTAACATGGCAACATAAAGATATTTGGCGTTTGTAATAGCTTTGGCTCGGTCTGAACTTTTTGCGAGTGGTGGAGGCTTGAATACTAGTGGGAGTTGGGTTTGCACTTCAGTCTTTTTTCTTTTGGTACCGGTGATATTCACGTTCGGGTGATGCCTTTTCAAATGAGTGTGCAAGTTTGATGTATTGCCAGCCGCGTAACCAATTTTAGTTGAACAATGCCGACAAACAGCTTTGTTTCGGTCCACCTGTCTTTGTCCGTCATCCTTGTACGTAACTGCGAAACCAAAATGTTCCCAAACCGGAGACTTCAATGATGCTGGAGGATTTTTTAGCTCAACTTTATCTGCGTTCGCCATTTCGACAGTTCCTCAAATTGCTGACTACATTTGAACACATCCCTGTGACCAGCTCTCATAGTATGCCTCTCGTCCAATGAAATGACTTGGTCGCTCTATGACGCGTTGAACTCAATGTGAGCAAATTACTCTGAATGCTGCGACGCAGCACCTGAGATTACTTCCAAAAAGTTGTTCACGTTCTCAATTTTTTACGTTTAACGTTATATTCGTTCGGTACACTTCGGTACACACGTGTACCGAACCGAAGGGCCCGCACCGAATTATTTCGGTACTGGTACGTATACCGTTACACCCCTACTGTCCATACAAAGACCCAGATGCCTCAACAGGCCATATCCAAATCTGTATTTCAAAGTTTTCGAGCAAGGATCACCAAGATGTTTGCATTGTCGGGCAAATGCATCTTTGATTGTAAACTGTCGGGAAGGTGGGGGCTCTCCATCTCCAGCTGCAGTGTTTGCTACCAGCTGGGAAAACGGAATGGGGTGGTTATGTTTTAGGTGTAGTTTAAGATTTGTGGTATTGCCTGCTTTTGTCGCTACCTTTTTTAAACAAATGCGACATACCGGCTCATTCAAGTCCGTAGGTTGGCCTCGTTCATTTGGCTTGAATCCAAAATACTGCCACACCGGAGATGTGTAGTTAGGTTTTGTAACCAATTCCATTTCACTTTAAATTACGCGCGAGTAAGTCACACGTTGTCTCCCGCTTGTCAATATATATTTAATTTGGATGCTACACACTGCTCACAGCGCGCGTGGCCGACAGCCACAGCGCTCCTGGCTAAAATGCTGGTCACATCCTTATGTAAAGGGAAATTTATCGAGCTCAGAAAAGTTATCGAGTCGATTTTTATTTATCGTACGATAAGTCAATTTATCGATTATCGCGACAGGCCTAGCGCAATCCAATGTGTGTGAAGCAGTAATCCTGCAGCTCCACCCGCTGTGACGGAACGGTGAGCGGAGCAAAACACAGACTAAGAGTTAGACCTAGTTGGTTGTTGTTTGTGGAAGCGCCAGTGAATGAGCCCCATTAACTGAGTTTTAAACATCACTTTAAATGGAAGATCCCCATAGGCCCCGCCCGCTCGATCGGATCGGCGAGCGGTATCGGCCGATACTGATTCCGGCGATCGGCCCCAAAATGGGCGTTCGGAGCATCCCTAATTGTGGTCATTGTTGAAAGAAAAAAGGGAGGGTGACATTTCTGCTATCAGTATTATTATATTATAATACACTTTCTGCTTTCCTGTCATTATCAAGAGTTAGAAATGTAATGGCTATGTTATAGATTAGATTTAGGGATGCACGATATTGGTTTTTTGAAAGCGATACCGATACCGATAACTTCCTGCTTCTCAAGACCGATACCGATAACCGATAATTAAAAAAATGTTACGCCACAAATTATTTTAACGCGATTAACGCATGTGTATTTTTTTTCCTTGGCCGCCCCGTAGTTTCAGAGCGCATCGAGTTTAAAATACCATCTAAGCTGATGCTGACAGCCCCGCTCCTGCCGCCCGCTTGTGGCAGACCACACTTCCACGCTCACCGGCAGGCACCGACCATAGACTGTATATATAAAGGCACCGACTGGCCATCTGGAGGACTGGGAGGGTGTGTGTATGTGTGGCCCGAGCGAGCGAGAGACCTTACGTGCATTGTTGTTGTTAGCATCTGGTGCTAGCTAGCTGCGCTAACGGATAAGGAGCTGTTTAAATGAAAACAGAGGAGCGACATTTCGCCACAACTGCGCCGAGCACTTGACTTTATGCAGGAAGCCAGACAGTGGGACATTGTACGAAAAGTCAGCACACTCAGCACGGATAGTGCGCAACATGATTGCAGCGTCCAGGCAGCTCCGGTTCGAGCATATGCCTTGAGTTGCACATAGCTCCAACGCCCATACCACCGACGACATGTTTGTTTACTGTCCTGGCTTCACGGCCGCACACCATTTACGTCACAGCCAGGCATGAGTTAGGGAGCGCTGGATTTGTGAAAAACTCCCCTCTTCCTAAACCACTAATACCACAGTACTGGCAAAACGGGAGGAGCCGAGTGAAAAACAAGCGCCCCTCATCCCAATCCACCCACACCGCAGTATTTTTTACCCAAAAAATATATTGTATATTATCGGGGCTATTAGTACTGGTATCGGGTTTATCGGGATGACATCATAATTCCTAATATCGGACCGATAATTATCGTGCATCCCTAATTAGATTAGAACCTTCATTATCCTAAACTTCTGGGGCATTTCAGTGTGGCTGAAACTTTCTCTCCCTCTTCTTCTCATACTCCCTGTCACTCTCCTTTAAGTGAAGGTTTCCACCTGAGCCGCTGGGTTATTAAAACTGTTCTCTGCACATCATATTTGTATTTGTTATATCTGCTATAAAGTAGATATTGCTAATAAGGTGGTACTAGACTTCAAACTTAAAAGGTAGCCAACCAAATTGTGGGTGAATATTTTTTCATATGGCAAATTGATGGAAAAATAAAACTGCAATGTTTTTCCCAATATACTGCAGCCCTAATTTGCACATTAGCAGTAGTGTAGCAAAGATGGAAGGGATAGCAGTACTCTGTTTTTTTTTAAACGACAGGTGCAATAACAATATTTTAACAATGTCCAATACACAATGTTTATTAATAACAGTTGAATTTGAAGTTCCTGGGTTATGATTTTCCTTCAGTGACAACAATAGTTGTTGAATGATTTAAATCATCTTTGATGGTGTAAATGTGTTCATGATAATTGCTAGTTTAAAGACTATAGTTGGTTCGCCAATTTGCTCTCAGATTATTTTTGAAAGGTTGGACAATTCAACAACTTAAAAAACCTGTTTCTTTTTGGTCTTCTACCGCAAAGGTACCTGCTCTATCAATGACTTCTGTATTCTGTCATTTAAATCTTTAGATATGATTTTGGTTTCTTGATGTCTCCCAGTTTTAAATTTCTCGGACAGAATACCATCAAGGAGACCGTCTTCGTAGATGTAGTCTTTATTTCAATACTGTCAATCCAATTTCAAAGCTAAAGGAATCGGGCTCACTGAGGCACACGGCATGCTACACAACAAAAGAACCGTAGACTCTGAGCAATAACCACATTAGCTTTTATTACATAAAGTACATCAGAAAGTCTCCTTATCTAACTTGTAAACATGAACATGCATCGTGTTCTGCACCCTGGCTTGTTGAATGATCGACCACTGACAAGTTTGTTTACTTCATATCCCCCCTTCGCACCGGAGTTCTCGCATCCTGCCGGCTGCTGTCAATCATACACAAACACACAGTGACACACACCTGTAGACGAAAAAGCGTATTTCGAAAAAGCACACGCACAACGTGGTGCAATATACTGACAGAAATGTTGCTTTGCTGACACAAGGTAGATAAACTGCAGTGATGCGGTTGAGACCTACTGGGAGAGGGACTGCATGTGTCCATAACAATGCACAATAAAGATCAGACTTGCTTTGAAGACAAGAATGTGCCTCTCTACACGTGTGGTATTGACAGCTCCGACAGGGAGAGTTATTTTCACCCATCACAACTTTGACACTTGTTGTTTTCTTTGTTCACCATGCAGCAGCCGCAGCAGCAGGCGGCGGCGCTCCCACTGTCCGGCGGCGGGGGTGTGGCGGTATCATCGGTGGGCCCCACAGCCGACCCAGAGAAGCGCAAGCTGATCCAGCAGCAGCTGGTCCTGCTGCTGCACGCTCACAAGTGCCAGCGACGGGAGCAGGCCAATGGGGAGGTGAGGGCCTGCGCCCTGCCGCACTGCCGCACCATGAAGAACGTCCTCAACCACATGACCCACTGCCAGGCCGGGAAGTCCTGCCAGGGTGAGTGAACGCATTTTAAAGCAGATTGATCACATCCTGGGGTTAAAAAGTTTGTGGAAATCAACACCCCATTTGCTCGTTGGAGTCTTTTCTGCTTTCTGTTCACCACATTAAAGCCTTAATAAAGTAGGTCTTGGCAAAGTAAACACATACTTTTTGTTCATAAACCATTTCCTATCTTGATCTTGTAAAATCCCCAGCTTTTATTATGATATATTTGTTTATGATCCGATCCCAACATTTATATAATCTCAAGTCAAGGTTTGGATATGCTTTACATCTTCCACATTTGGAAAACAACTGTTGAAAATGAAACTTACAGCATCATGTTGAACAAGCAGACCTGAAAGTCATTAAGGGGAAACATATTTGAAAAAGGCATCAACACAGATCAGATAACTAGATTCCCCTAGTGCAGGGGTGGGGAACCTTTTTCCTCTCAAGGGCCATTTCAATTTTTCCAACATCCTCCGAGGGCCGTACAAATGATTGACCTCTGCTTAAAAATACTAAAATCACAGCCCATTCATTTCGCCTTTCTTTCATGCTGTACAAAGAAAAAGCAACCTCTTAATCCAGATATCTCACCATGACTCGCGCATGCATGCACGTGCACGGTGTGGCATGACCATCAAAACAGAAAGATATGGACACAAGATGTGTACAAATGTATTTAGATTCGGGGGGTCCTTGGGCATGCTCCCCCAGGAAGATTTTTTTTTAAATATTGAAGTTGAAAGCATCAATCTGGTACACTTTGAGAGCAACATTAAGAGATCTATGGATACATCTCTCAACACCAGAGATGGGGACTCGAGTCTGTGACTCGGACTCGAGTCGCACTTAAGTCGCACACACAGAGACTTCAGACTTGACTTGGACTCCTGCTCAAAAGACTTCGGACTCGACTTGGACTCGTGTTTTGGGACTCGTGAACAATCATTGTGTTTTCTATTTTTGGCGTATTAAAGGTAGGGAGGTAAGTTTGAGAAACCGGCTCGAGATCGCTAGAATTTGAAAATACACAACCGGAGAAAATCTGCCACTTCCTCACAGAGTCCCTCCTCCAACACACACGAACGCGCACATGACCAATGAGGGCACGAGATCAGTTTGTGCCCCGATGGGAGGCTGACAGGCAGGTAGGCCATCCAGTTATTTTAGCCGGGCCGGGTATCGGGATGTTAAGAGCATTCCATGGAATATAACAACAAGTGTATCTCGAGCCGGTTTCTCAAAGTTACCTACCCCACCTTTAACATTAACATTAACATCATGGTAACACCATGGCGACCAGCGGCACACCTGCAGCTGTACCGCTTGTAATTAGGTTAAACTATAAAAACTTCGAACAAAACGCCGGCGGCACCAACAAAAGGAGCGCACACTGCAAAGTCTGCAATATTAAAATCAAGGATGCTGGTGCAACAACGTCAAATTTCATCAGGCACTTGAAAACTCACTCGGAGAGGTCAGTCACATTAACGCATATGGACGGTTAGCAAACATGTTTAGCTCAGCATCAGCTATGTAATGTTAACTTAGCTTGCTACTAGCTTTGTAACTGAATATTTGAAAAGATGAGTGAATGTTTGCTTGTCACACTTGTTTGCGTTGAGTGGCGTTGACATCCAACTCTTGACATGACATAAAAAAGGTCGGTAACGTTAATCATTACGTTCCGCTGCCACCATCTACTGGCTAACGTTAAACGTAGAAAAATACATAGTTACATACATAAATACATCTGTCGGTTTATAGGCAGGTTACAGGTTTATTGTTGACCAGGTAACGTTAATGTTACAGGTTTATCAGGTTACCATTACACTGGGTTTGAGTGAGAGGATAGAGGAATATGTTTATTTATAGTAGACTTAAAAGATGTAATTAGAGACCCAGTGTAATTAAACAATACGGTTGCAGAGGTCACATTTTAACATTTTTGTCCACTGGCCAAATGGCTAGACTAGTGAATGTTGAAATGTTACCAGCCACTCAATAGATTGCCATTGTTATGTTTGGCTGGTGCGTGCAACATACAGTACCAGCCACTTGCATGATTTACCAGCATTTGGCTGGTAAATGGTGTTAATGGTAGATATCTCATTTGGAACAGGTCATTTTTTAATATCACCAGTTCAGTATATTTCAGATAATATTGCAGCAATAGTTTTTTAGTTGCAAATGGCACAGAACAAATGTTTACTTTTAAGTACTTTTAACACAGTTTCCCTGCGGGGGATTAATAAAGTATTTGTGATACTGATTTCTGATTCTGAAGTGTTTAGCTTATAAGTTGTTTGCATTTAGCTAAACTGTGATGTTTGTCCTCATATTGCATTGCAATAGCCTGTTTAAAGTGATCATATAACAAACAACTAATCAGTACTGATACTGTATGCTAATAGATATAGGAGTGATAATAATACAGTAAATGCTTTGAATTTCTTAGATATAGCTGTGCAGTATTCTTAACAGACTGGACAGCAGCAGACAATAGAAGGCTTATTACAACCAGAAGAGACATGAGACTTTGGTTTTTTAGAGACTTGAGACTTGACTTGGACTCGTGACCAAAGACTTGAGACTTGATCAAGTCTCACCCCACAAAGACTTGAGACTTGACTTGGACTCGTGACCAAAGACTTGAGACTTGATCAAGTCTCACCCCACAAAGACTTGAGACTTGACTTGGACTCGTGACCAAAGACTTGAGACTTGACTTGGACTCGTGACCAAAGACTTGAGACTTGACTTGGACTCGTGACCAAAGACTTGAGACTTGACTTGGACTTGCAAAAAAAGACTTGTGAACATCTCTGCTCAACACCCATATGAAACAGAACTGTAAACAGATTTACTTTTTCTTTATGGATATTTTACAAATCACTCTCCTTTTAAACTTTATTCATGTTTATTAATAACAACTTTGTTTTACTGTCATATAGTATTTTATAACTGTTTACTTTATTCTCTTATTTTTTTATAACTATAATGATCATATAAAGATGTGCCTTTACCTCACTGGTTGGAGAAAACGCTTCTTATATTCGTTAGCATAGCTAGCTAACCAGATGCTAATAACAACAAAGTTATTAACTGTATGATCAGTATGACAGATGAACAGATCGCCACTGGGCTTTCAACTAAAGACACAGCCACGCAGAAACTGCGGCATATGTACGGCTCCTTATGCGTACTGCAGTTTCTGGAGTGGCGTTCCGGTGCTCTCCGTCAGAACTGCACCCCTGTCAGACGAGACATATACCACGTGATGACACGTTAAGCTTGTGTTGTGTTCAAGGCCCCTGACCTTGGCCAGGAAAAAAAGGCACTCGCTTGTTTAATTATTTTGCGGTCTAGATTTCTTACATTTTTTTCTTTTTGGCGTGTGTTTATAAATTACCTCGAGGGCCGTACCAAATGGTCTCGCGGGCCGTATACGGCCCGGGGGCCGGAGGTTCCCCACCCCTGCCCTAGTGGAACCAACAGTTTGTGTGGCTGTTAAGCGCGGGCTGTTTAGATTAAATGTTGATAACAAGTTTAAAACACTGAATATTATAAGATTTAAAGTAGGAGAGACCCTGAGGGTTAACAGCTAATACATCTTTACCTTCCAAAACATTGACAGTTTTCGATTTTTATTTTTTTTAAACCTGCATAAATAATCCCAGTAGTTTTTCTAGATTATGTGACCAAGAACCTGCTGCAACTAAGAAATATGTTCTTTCATGTCACACTCTTAAAATAGCTATTAGATACTGTATGAATGTTTTTTATCTTTTTTATTATCTTAGTAAAATGAGGATTTCCAAATACCAAATATTCTCTTAAATTAATTTGATCATATTTTAATAATGCGATTCCTTTACTTTGTTAGTTTTTCTTAAAAGGTAGTCTGTCATGTGTGCCTTTCCATGCCATGACACATTTCTCGTAAATCCTTGTTTTGTCAGAACATAGACTGAGCACATAAGATTTCCATACATTCAAAAACACTCACATCCTACCTGCTTGCCCACTTGTCGACTTTCTCTTGTGCCACTAATGTCGTCCCCTGGATTTTCTCTATGGCGTGTTTCTGTCTGCTGTCCTTCCTGTGCAAAATTCCCCTCGAGCGACTTTCATTTAGATTTAATGTATTTTGCTCTGGCCTTGGACTTGAATGCTTAAGTTACATTTCAAGCCAACCACCCTCAGAGGCCAAAGTGTTTTAAGTGTGAAGGGGTCTATGTCTCTGCATGCCAGCTCATTTCCTCTCGCTCAGGGTTTCTGCGTCTCTGTACCTCTGACATTTTGTGGCGAACGATTTCTTTCCCTATCCGCACATCTCAGATTTGACATTTATCTGATGTGAGTTCAATTTTACCTAAGGGAACTCTTGAGTCTGCGCTATGACTAATGCGTGCACTGGCTTTGGACCTCAATCCTAGCTCTTTTTCTTTGTTCATCAGTTCACATTAAATCTACAAAAAGCTACATTATAGACCTGCAATGTTCCAGTCTTTGCCAGTAGTATTGGCGTTCTCACCAAGATAATGAAATCTAATTGTGTTTATTTGTGCTAGGGCTTTGGAGCTTGAAGCCAGATAATGATTGTATATGTTGTAATATTTAGAAGTGCCAATCGGATAGCAGAGGCTCCTTTCATCCAGCTGGTGATTTTTTTGTCAGATTAGCTGCTAGCTCATTAGCATGACCACAGATGAAATGAAGCGCCTCCGTTTGTTCAGTCATGCATCAGGAAATACGGTATAGTTTATTTTTCCTCTGGGCCAAAGCAACAGCCTTCCAAGAGTGGAAATGAGTGCAGTGAGCTGAACCTTTTCAGTTTGAGCAGACCAGGGCTCGAGCTTGAGGAAAAAATTAGTGTCGGGGAGGATAAAAAATGATTTTGGGACGAATTTGGGACGAGAGTTAAAATAAAAATACCCTGCTAACTCTACTACAAACGGCGATGAAAATGAAACCGACTGCACGTTGTGTAGCACACAGTTATTAAACCTCCTTGTCAACATAAACACACACGCACAAAACATTTAGCAACCTGCAAAATACACACACACACACACACACAGTAGGCTACGTAGCTACAGCTGTGCCCGCAAATTCCTGGCCCGCAAATTCGCAGGTCTAGCTATGTACTGAGTGTGTGCAGCGCAATATATCTATTATATGGCTCTGAGTGTGGGTTGAGTGATGTACAATGGCATCCCGTGGAGGAATTCTGAAATGTTTTACCGTTAATCATAAAAACGCACAGCAGAACCTGACCCTGGAGCGCCGGCCTCTTTATTTACTTACTCATCTTCACCCCCTATATAAGGCTGAGAAGAGAACCCTCCATCGTATTTAGTCCTTAGCAATATGCTGCGCCTCTCCCCATGTAGGGATGGGTACCGAGCCCCGGTATTAAACGGGCCCCGGGCCGGAATTATTAAAGACAGTGGTAACGTTAAGCTCCGACGTTATCGGACTTTTTATCGGTACTGGAGACATTTAAAAAATATGTCATATGTATTATTGCTACATAAACATTATATCGCAGTTTTAGTTTCGCGAACTCCGTTTCTAATATGCAGTATTAAGATTACAACATGCGTCTATGATGTATTTTCGAGCTTTCCAATCCAGACGAGATCTCTCTCCAGTCTGTGTGCGAGGGGCCGGGGCAGTTTGTAAAGGTCTCCTGACTGTTACAGACTGTCATCCTGGTTAGTGGTTACTCTGGGTTCTGTCTTCAGGACAAAGTGTTGGATTTTTTTGTTAATTGGATGGGACTTGAGTAATTTTCTCGTTTGTGTGTTTGTTTAAATATATTTGGCCTTTGTTTATGTGATTGAATGATTTACTCAAATAAAAAGGTTGATGAATTATCATCTAATGATTTGTATGATGTTTTATTTATGTTAAAGGTCACTTTGAATGATTTTAACTAATGATAATGTAGAAAAACTAATATTTTAAATTCGGGACGGTCCACATTAATTTCGGGACGGCTTAGATTGTATTTCGGGACGGTTCCGGGAGGATGGTGAAAAAAGTTAGTCGAGAGCCCTGGAGCAGACACATTTTATTTCTGTAGTTTCTCTCTAGGGATGTCCAAATCAAGTTTCCTCCCCCCCACTATAATATTGAGGGTCTGCCGCTTCAGAGTCCTACTCCATACTTCTATTTTATTGGATATTACAGCTGCACAGTGAACACTAAAGTACATTCAAGTTATTGCAATCAATCCGCTGTATATGCTTGACAATTGAAAAGCTCTGCATTGCGTTAATTAATACTTGTCCTGTATATTAATGGTTTTGTAATGTTTTTATAAAAAATTTGATTTATTTTATAAAATAATAAACCCTCTATAATTTATTTGGCTTTGTTGCCGTCTCAAGGTTTATTTCTGTCTTGTTTTGAAAAGGTCCTCCGTTGTTTGTTTTTTTGGTGACGCTGAGTTTTTATTTTCATTTTTTGGACATCTTTTGCGCGGATAGCAAATTACCTTTTTTTTAAAAATTATTATTACAATTACAGGAGATTGCAGAAGGACAGACAGCAGATGGTTGGAAAGTTGACGACTACAGCACTCCCATTGCTGTGAATGAAAAGCTTCTTAAATGATCACACTTGTGTTCATTAGAACAAAGGATCAGAGAAGGCTCAATATAGCGGACCAAACGGTTACAAAATACCCTGAAAGTCGCCCATACCGACCACATCGGGTCATCCCTTTGTCTCTCCTCCTTAACATTTATATTAAGTCCTCATAGTTTTTTCTTCGTTCTGTCAAGGACCACTTTGCTCAATGTTGTTAATGTGTGTACAGGAAATCCTTCTTCTAAATGTGAGGTGTGTGATATGTCCTTTCTGCTTGTTATTTCAAAACAGAGAAAGTCGTTTAAAGTTACACAATATAATTAACCTTAATTCCAGTCTGAGATAGAGAATAGGACTCAACTGTGAGGGAGACTGCTGCTGGAAATGTCATGTGGGCATTACATTTAGAACAAGCTGAATGTAAAAATGGTTTTGGTTTCATTAAACATGATGTGAATTTCCAGCTCTAACGTTGATTTCTTGGTGTCCCCATCTCCCTCCTCTCTGCAGTGGCACACTGTGCGTCGTCCAGACAGATCATCTCGCACTGGAAAAACTGCACGAGACACGACTGTCCTGTCTGCCTGCCGCTGAAGAACGCCAACGACAAGCGCACCCAGCAAAGTGAGTACGAGTAGCAGGCTCCGGCACGCTGTCGCTCAGCTGTTGTCAAGTGGCCAGACATCCCCGCAGACACCAAACACAAGGCTGATTTACTTCCATTGACTGTACTGAATAAGCAGCGCATCTCTGCGTTGGTCTCACAAAGGCCCCAGTCTTTATCTCAGACATTAAGGGAGATTAAGCTCTTGTAGTCTATAGTGACATCATCAGCAAGAATAATACCTTCCTGTGGCTTTCCTGAAACCAGCCGCAGAGGCTTGTGTGCAGAATGTTTGAGTATTTGACCATTCAGGCAATTTATTTCTAGGTTCGTGCCCCTCAACAATGCCTAAAAGCATTCAGTGAGTAAGTGTGTGGTCCTGCTGGGCTTGTAATCTGACACACAAGAGGGATAGGCGTGTGATGGAGGGAGAGAGGGAGGAAACGGAGAGCGTGTGCTGGATGTGTCCCGCTGAGCCATTGGCTGTTGGGCTGTTTACTGCTACTCCCCTCCGGAACAGAGCCTCGCACTTAAACTGTTTTCTTTCTGTTTTGTTTTCCACTCTCCGGTTTCACACTCTGTTCTTGAATACCCAACCCAATCTTTTTCATTCTTCTTCATGACTTGCATTTGTAACTTTTACTCTTCCATTTTTTTTTACTCTCCCCTTTTTTTCCCCCCTTCCATTATTTTATTTTCTTTACTTCACCCCTCTGCTCGGCATCTTTCATCACTTAAAGCATTCCAGTGTCGGTCTGTCCCTGTTTGGTTTGCATGTTAAAGAACATGACGTTGAGGCTTGTGTCTCTCCTGCCAACACAAGCACACCGCAGAGTTTCTTTGTTCTGCCTCCTCCGATTTTGGTCTTTGCACAAACTAAGAGCTTTTTTAGCTCGCCCAAAGCCTGAACTCAGAAAAATATGCTAATGCTTTGTCCCCTGGAGGGATTTATGCATTTATTCAGTTCACTGCTTTTCAAAGCGTTTAGCCTTGCATTATGTTCACACTGTATCATGTTGCCTTGTGACTTCATCTTGCCAGAGGTCAAAGTGTGTAAGCATGTGTGTTTTCTACTACTACTTTTGCAGTGTTTTCACCAAAGAGGATACTTTTTACATTCATTGGGCTTGGCACACAGTATCAACATTTAGCATTTGTGTGCCTACCCTTGCTTGCAGCAGTAGAGATGGTGAACATGTCTACCAGCTGGCAGTATAGTCAGATTGATTGTATTTGAGTGTTAAGACTGACGGCGCTGTCTCTCTCCACAGCCATGCTAGGCTCCCCCAATGCGAGCCTCCAGAACGCCATGTCCTCCGTTGGTGTGGGCCAGCCCAGTACTCCCACCATCAATACCTCAACCCCCATAGACCCCAGCTCCATGCAGAGAGCATACGAGGCACTTGGGCTGCCCTACAGCAGCCAGACCACTGGGCAGGCCCGGGGGGCCGCGGGCCAGACTGGAGGCGCACCCAACACACAACAACAGCAGCTCCCGCAGATGAGACCCATCAATGCACTTGGTAAAGCCAAATATTTCGATGTTTTATAGTCATGTAGTGATATTTAGCACTTCTGGGTTCCTTGAAATGTAATGGTTTTTTGAATTAGTTTTGGTTAGATGTCTGGAATCAAGTTATTACCCCACTCATAAATGTCTGAAGCTTTTACTTGTCTTTACGAAAAGGCAGCTGCTAACAAGTTACTAAATAAGACTGCCAACACCCGTCCACCTTTAGCTTAGTGACCGTGAAGTGAAGAAATGCAACAGTGATGCAGTTTGGTTATAGCACTAGCTATTTACTTTTAGTCATGACATGTATGCTTCAACTGTTATAAAGGTGTATAAATATGTGGAGATGAATCTGCTCCATGAAACGTGCAAGTATCATAAATGTGCGTTTGCCACAGATCATATCTTCTGCTATAATCTAATAGACAATAAAATAATACCCAATTTATTTTTGTCGGGAGCCCTTGTAATGCTGACTTCCAGGTTGGCCGCAAAAACACTATTAGTACTAGTATATATGAGCGCTTGTAGAAAACCTTTAAAAAGTTGTGCTCTCTTCAATGTCGGCATGTGTGTATTGATTGACTTATTAATGCACAGCACACCCAACTGCTAGGCTCTAAAACGGATATAAAAATGAATGTAATATAAAGCAAAGATAACCTTTGCTGGCCCTTTTATTATGTCTGTGTTGAGTGTGCTCTGCAGCTGTGGTCACGGCAGCCATATTTTATTCGCAGAGCACGATTTTAAAATGAAGGCAGTGCTGTTTGCTCACAGCGCTCTGTGTTACAGGTAACCAGATGGCTCTTGGAGGCGGGACTCCGGGCGTGACCACTTCAGATCAGACGAACCTGCACACAGACGCCCTCCCCAACACACTCAACACTAACAAGTCAGTCTCAGCAAACAACGGCATTTCATTCATTCACCCTAAACTTTCTTTTTATTGCAGGAAATTCAAGTAGCTACTTAAAATGTACATGTCTAATAGATTTGATGAATTCTAGAGTGCAGTCCCATGTAAAACATTACACTATTTAAATATGTAACTTCTACCCGTCCTCCTGTTCCACCTCCAGTCAGCTGCTGTCAGACGGGTCCTCTGTGGGCTCGCTGGGTAACCTTCCCACAGCAGCACCCATCTCTGCCACAGGCACCAGGAAATCCTGGCACGAGCACGTCACTCAGGACCTGAGGAATCACCTCGTGCACAAGCTGTAAGTGTATACCCCTGCTGGACGACTGGAACTGACTCCTACCATGACATTTTGAAGGTTTTGAAGTACAGAGGAAGAATTTGAGATGTTCATTGCTGCAATTCTTCTCCTGCAGAGTACAAGCCATATTCCCCACGCCTGACCCGGCAGCTTTGAAGGACAGACGAATGGAGAACCTGGTGGCTTACGCCAGGAAGGTGGAGGGGGACATGTACGAGTCCGCTAACAGCCGGGTAGGTTTTCTGAAACGGGCCTCAACTTGGAAATAATTCCTCTCCCTTTCAAGGCCACACACAAAGCCTCAGAATGTATTTGTCAACTTTAATATCGCCTTCTACTCACCCCCTTTGTCTCCCCTCAGGATGAATACTATCACTTCCTGGCTGAGAAAATCTATAAAATCCAAAAGGAGCTGGAGGAGAAGCGGCGCTCCAGGCTACAGAAGCAGATCATCAACCAGGCTCCTCTGGCCGCCCAGGGGAACCAGCAGCCCGGCCTCCCCCAGCCCAATGCCTTCAGCCCAAGGCCACAGAGTGAGTACAGCGGTACAAGACCTGAAGAGTTGTGAGGTAAAACCTCAAATGCATTTCAAGTTTCTTGCATCATTTTTTTTGACCACAACAAGTGTTAGAAACAAGTGTTTGTATTGTATTATTTCTTCTTTTTGTGTGATATTTATGCCATTTCACATATTTTCGTCTTGGTTGGGTAATAGGAATAAAATAAATATCTAGCAAAGTCTAATTGGATAAACCGGCACACCAAATAGCTCCTTTTTGAATGATCGTTATGCTTGGCTGAAAATAATTTTAACATGAGCTGTTAGTGTGCAGATGTATCTGTTTCAACTGCCAGTTCACATTACCCCCCTAGTGTTTGCTCATGTTAACAGATAAATACTTTGGGGCATTTTTCAACATGGAAAGATCTCGCTATATCTTTTCTATTGTGGTTGAGATGCCTTTAGTGGTTTGTTGTATTAGGCTGCTGTGATGTTGCAAATGATTGTGAGTAGGATGTGTATCCACATAGCTAAAAACAACAACCCTTTAATTGAAAACCATGCAGTGGAGAGGTTGTGTGAACGGCATCTATTGCACGTCTGTCCGTCCTGGGAGAGGGATCCCTCCTCTGTTGCTCTCCCTGAGGTTTCTCCCATTTTCCCCTTTAAGGTTTTTCCTTGTACGATGTGAGGGTCTAAGGACAGAGGGTGTCGTTTTCTCATACTGATATTCTGTACAAACTGTGCTGTTGTATTTGTTGTAAAGTGTCTTTATTGTAAAGTATTTTTATTGTATGTACAGCACTTTGGCTCGACCAAAAATCGTTTTCAAAATGTGCTATATAAATAAAACTTGATTTGATCATGTCATTCTTCAATTTGTCTTTCCGCTCAATGGTGTTTTTCTCTTTGCTTCATAGATGGGCCTGTTCCTCTGCCCAACATGCCAAATCAAATCATGAATCGCATGCAGGTTTCACAAGGTACGTCTTGGAGCGCTACATGTTGCATATTTCTCATTCCAATACAAAGATGTAATGGGAAACTGAAAAGACTCTTAATAAAGGGACAATTCCAAATCCACATTCTCTAGAAGTCTGTATGAAGAACGTGTCAGTAAGGCTGAACACATTCACTGTAGAACCCATGAAAGGCAAGCGAACTAAAGGAAGAGACCATTTCTTTGCAGAACTATAAGATGCAATCTCAATATTCAAGTACTTCCACTTAACCACACAGGTCTAACTGTGGAGCTGCCTGAAAATGGACATGTGTAAAGGTCTGAGAGTTTTTGCACAGACTGGAAGAAAAATACAAATTTAAACTTTCACCACCATATTTGATTGGGTAATGCTTCTTTAGCTCTGTGAAGTTGTGTTGGCTATTTTTGTGCAATTGAGTTGTGTGTACCGAACGTGATGGTCCTCTGTACAGGAATCAACCAGTTCAACCACCTGGCTCTGCCCAACGCCCAGATATCCCAGACACCAATGGGAGCCCGAGCCGCCTCACCCATGAACCACCCACAGCAGATGAACATGAGCTCCGTCCCAGCGGTGAGGAGGGCAGGGGGGCACACAAATCACAGCACACACACACAAGCATACACGTAATATGAGCTAACACCCAGTTGCTAGTAAATGTACACTCTGTCTGCACACAGTACCAGGCTAATTAAAAATGTAGTCCACTGGTCAGGTCATGAGATGTTGAATTTTAAGATGGACGAGTCACTGCACCAGCTTGTTAAGAAAAGGGCAGAGTGCTTTTTGTTCTGCAGTCTTTCACTAACCCAGGTGTGGGACGGAGGCATTGAACTTTAATACCGAACAATGTGCCCCTTGTTAAAGAAACGGACGGCAGTAAATACAAGATGTGCGTCATGGCCAATTTTTGGTAATGTTTACCTGTTGGCTCCAACACAATTAAGTGTGAACAGGTTTAAATACTTGAATAATGAGTCCTATGAGCTTTGCTGATGTATCGGTGGGGAACTAGTATAGACACGGCAGATGCCTAAAAACTCTGAGAAAGCGTTAAATTAATTAGTTAAATTTGTCATAAATCAATCTTTTACGTTTCTGAAAATGGCTAGGACATAGGAGTTTTTTAATGCTAAATTGCTTCTTAAAAGTACTTATTTCCATTATCATTATATATTTCTCTTTTACCTACTATTGCAACTTATATTTCTTAGATTGTTTATGGTCACACCACCAGACACTTAAGCAAATTCCTTATATGTTTAAGCGTACCTGGCAATACACTTGATTCTAATTCTGATTTTAATATCTGAATATCTTTCTTTATCTCTATTAAAGGTGGGGTAGTTGGAGGAGGGGCTCTGTAAGGAGGGGGCAGATTTTCTCCGGTTGTGTATTTTCAAATTTTAGCGCACTCGAGCTGGTTACCTACCCCACCTTTCATTTCTTTTGTAAATATTTTGAATGATGTCATCACTTTGTATTTTTGTAACAAAAGCACTAACATTTTCTTATTTTATAACAAAAACAAGAATCTATTTCATTCATAACTGTTAAACACTATAGACGATATAGATTGATATCTAGAGAATTGACACTACTGTCGTCTGTAATCCATAAACCACTTCACACTTGTACAGCCTTTTATTTGAGATGGGAGACATTCATTGTAAACCATCACCGCATCATAATGGAGCTAGAATGCCAGTAATGTGATTGATCTTTGGCTCTTGCTTCTGGTTATGTCAATGGAAACTCCCGTCACTGAGCTCAAAGTAATCATCATCTTCTTCCCTGCCTTGCAGATGGGCATGTCCCCCTCCAGGATGCCCCAGGCTCAGGGCATGATAGCGGCACATGTCGGTGCTAACATGGTCGGCCAGACGGCTAGCCAGGGACAGTTCCTGGCTCAGACCCAGTTCCCTCCAGGATCAACTGCAGTCGCTGCAACGGGGGCCTTGAATGTCACCGTGGGGCCCGGCATGGGCCAGCCACCTGCACAGGCTGCCATCACCCAGGTGAGACGTTAGAACTCACTAGTTGGCTGTTTTAGGTATCTTCTTTGAAACGTATGCTGCTCATTCCAAACAGCGGCTGGAACTTAAAATCAAACTACTCTAACCAACCATTTGACGCACTAATTGCTCTGAAATTGTTCTCATACCGATCACAAGATGCTCTCTAAACCTCAAATTGTGTGTGTGTGTGTGTGTGTGTGTGTGTCTGGTTGACCTTACGCCTGTGTGTCTGTCTGCTAATCTGGTGTGTGTGTGTGTGTGCGTGTGCGTGTGTGTCGCCTGCCCTTTGTGTGTCCTTCTCTCCAGCAGCAGCAGCAGGGCGCTAACCTCCCCATGAATGCACTTGGCCCCTCGATGGGCCCTCAGCTAGCCTCCTCCCAAACCCCCTTGCACACCACGCCTCCTCCTGCCGTCTCCACGGCTGGGGGGGCCACTAACCTGCCACACCCCCAGCCCTCCAGCCGCAGCTCTACCCCCAACCTCCCTGGCCCCGCCCCAGCCCCGGGTGCCACCCCGCCCCGCCCCACCCTGCCCCCACCCCCGGCGGAGCTCCCTGCTGCGCAGCCTCCGCCCCTGCCTCAGCCCCCTTCCACGCCGGTGAGCCTGAGACCCTCAGCATGCCCTCCACTCTGAACAAACTCCCATCCCTCTGCCTGCCATGTACCAACCCCCCCCCCCCCCCCCATCCACATCCACCTCTCTGTCTGACAACTGCATCCTTATCACTGTTTGTAGCATCCATCACAATGGGAATGTTCATCTTTAACTTTAGGGGAGCAATGAAATCAATATAGAGGTTTCCATGTGTGTTTCAGCACCTGCATACAAAAGAAAGCAAATGAGCTGATGCCAATACCTCATATCTTCTTTCTCTGTGTGTCCCTCTGTCCCCCCCCCCCGTGTTTCAGCTCTCTCAACCAGGGGCCAGTCTAGATAACCGGGTGCCGACACCGGCCTCGACCATCAGCGCTGACCTGCCTGCACAGGAGGTCAAAGCAGAAGCACACCGGGAGCAAAAAGGGTTTGAGGCCGCAGGCGGCAAAACTGAGCCCAAGATGGAGGTGGGTTCAATCGATGTTTTGAAAAACGTAATGTTTTACTGCTGAACATATTTCTTCTATATCAAATTGTTTAAAGAATCTAACAAATCAGTACATTTGAAATGACATTGTACAACACATGATATTCTTTACCTGTGGACATCATTTGAGGATAACATTAGTCAGTCTTTGTTTGTTAAACCTTTAGTTATTCACTTTCATCCTTAATGAACTCTAGGATATCAAAATAATGAGAATGTAGACTTGACTGAGTCTTTTTCCTTGATTTGTGTAGACTGAGGAAGACTCTGCTTCAACGGTGCTGGTGAAGAAGGAGGAGCCAGATGTAAAGCCGGAGCGAATGGAGGTGGAGGAGAAAAAGCCAGAAATGAAGACAGAACCCAAAGAAGAAGAAGAGGGCGGAGCCAACGGCTCAACCTCCTCATCCCCCACTCAGTCACGGAGGAAAAGTGAGTCAAAATCTGTGAAGACTGGTCCACTCACCCAGAGGAGAGGGTTTCCGTCACTGTCAGAAACTTCAATAATCCCTCTCTGTGCCGACTGAGACACACTTATAATTGATGTCTAACTTATTGTGACAACAAGTCTTGCACTACCTCTGAACAATATCCAGACTCTTGTGATCCTTCTTGATCTTGCCAGAATTGTACACAAATAATGAACAGACTGTGCACGTGCTGGTATTATATACCCAACAAATAATGGAGGCCACCTAATCTAATGTTTACGTTCCATTTGATGTGCAGGCAGGGACAAAGAGCTGCAACTTCAAATTATTTTCATTTCATTTATTTGTGAAAAATAATTATAACATCCAAACATGACATCTTCAAATATTTAGTTCGACCAAAACATTTTTCCGGTCACATATGATGTATGACGAGTAGGGTTGGGAACCGAAACTCGGTTCCAGATGAGAACCAATAAGAAAATGCCGGGTACCAGGTACCCGTACAAAATACACAATTTCGGTTCTGCTTAACGGTTCCTAAATGCGGTAGACTTTCCACCGGGTCCGTCTGCGCCGCGGTGACCCGGTGGAATACAGGGTAAGGGAGGACTGTCCATCTGTGTGTTCTGGAGAATCACAGAACGGCCGGTCATCAGCTGGCCCTTCATTTTTTTTAAACGGCATCATGTAAGTTGCGCTGACAGGCGACAGAGGTCCACAGTTGCCCCGCAGCGAGGCTCCCCCCGTCCTCCCGTAGACAGTTCACGAGCTCAGTCACTTCATAACCCCAAAGATGGAGCGCGGTAACGTTCTGAAGTGAGGCTCCACTACACTAAAAAAGAAAAAGACAAGGCACAGTGTAATGCCTGTTAATAGCTTGCCACAGGCATACAGTAGCTCAGTTCAAATAAAGCACAGCTATTGTGCAATACATTTGTATTGCATGTATATTTTTTATTTGTAAAAATGTCAGTTAAAGCTTAAAAGAATAAATATATTTTTGTTATCTAAACGGTTTAACTCTTTCTTTTACAATTTTGGAATCGACGGGGAATCGATAAGAATCGGAATCGATACATTTCAAACGATACCCATCCCTAATGACGAGGGATAAGCAGGCAATCCTTTTATTTGAGAGACTGAAATCAGAGTATATTTGAATTGCTTCTCTATTTCTACTTCAAAAATATCAATTAATCAGCAATTGATCAATGCATCAAAATAGTTTCAAAAATAGTTTGGGTTGATTGACTGACCGTTTAAGCTCTAATGTGTGTGAAGTGATGAAATAATCAATCTTTGGCACAGATAGGAAGCGAGCACTTACTGCTGTTCAGTTGACATTCTTTAGAATACAAATGTATTCATGTAACATAAGCTACATAACCATTGATTTGTCATTTTGTTGTAGTTCTAAGAACATTTGGAAAAACAACTGATGTCATACAGACAACAATATGCAACTAGACCAGGATTTAATGTCGCTGGTGTTTACATTACAATCGCTGTCCTATGTAGTGTTCAGGGAGTCTGTTGTCTTTGTGAAGCTGAGGAAAGGTTTAGGGGTTAATCCCTCTTACTTCTCCTGTACAGTGGACTGTGCTTTTTCTGTAACTTTGTTAGTTTACTTACACGGTGCCTTTTCCTCTTTTCCTTTTCCAGTCTTTAAGCCCGAGGAGTTGCGCCAGGCTCTGATGCCTACTTTGGAGTCTCTCTACAGGCAGGACCCCGAGTCGCTGCCCTTCAGACAGCCAGTGGACCCCATGCTCCTGGGAATCCCTGTACGTAGCACACATGCACTTGCCATGTCATATTTTCACTTGAAACGAAAACTGATCTTGGGTGTTAACACTTAAACTTTGTATTTGTCCCTGTCTCTCCAGGACTACTTTGACATAGTGAAGAACCCTATAGATCTGTCCACGATAAAGCGAAAGCTCGACACGGGCCAATACCAGGAGCCGTGGCAATACGTTGATGACGTCTGGATCATGTTCAACAACGCCTGGATCTACAACCGCAAGACGTCCCGCGTCTACAAGTACTGCTCCAAACTGGCCGAGGTGTTCGAGTCCGAGATCGACCCCGTCATGCAGCTCCTGGGCTACTGCTGCGGGAGGAAGGTGAGATAATGGCGTGTTGAAAATGAAAATTCAGGAAGGGTTTTTATTAGGGCTGTCAGTCGATTAAAATATTTAATCGCATGATTGTCCGTAGTTAATCGTGATTAATCGCATTTTTTTATCTGTTCTAAATGTACCTTAGAGGAATATTTTTCAAGTTTTTAATACTCTTATCAACATATGAGTGGACAAATATGCTTTATGCTAATGTTTATTATCATTTGAACAATGACAAATATTCTCATGAATATTAAACACAACAACCTCTGAACATTACAAATATTCGCCTCAATTCAACCTGGAACCTCTCTCATACAATAATACAATACAAATGGTGTGTGTGTGTGTGTGTGTGTGTGTGTGTGTGTGTGTGTGTGTGTGTGTGTGTGTGTGTGTGTGTGTGTGTGTGTGTGTGTGTGTGTGTGTGTGTGTGTGTGTGTGTGTGTGTGTGTGTGTGTGTGTGTGTGTGTGTGTGTGTGTGTGTGTGTGTGTGTGTGTGTGTGTGTGTGTGTGTGTGTGTGTGTGTGTGTGTGTGTGTGTGTGTGATCGTTGGAGCTATGTGTAACTCAAGGCATATGCATATGCTCGAACGGGAGCTGCCTGGACGCTGCAATCATGTTGCGCACTATCCGTGCTGAGTGTGCTGACTTCTCGTACAATGTCCCACTGTCTGACTTCCTGCATAAAGTCAAGTGCTCGGCACAGTTGTGGCGAAATGTCGCTCCTCTGTTTTCATTTAAACAGCTCCTTATCCGTTAGCGCAGCTAGCTAGCACCAGATGCTAACAACAACAACAATGCACGTAAGGTCTCTCTCTCGCTCGCTCGGGCCACACATACACACACCCTCCCGGTCCTCCCAATAGCCAGTCGGTGCCTGCCGGTGAGCGTGGAAGTGTGGTCTGCCACAAGCGGGCGGCAGGAGCGGGACTGTCAGCATCAGCTTGTAGATGATATTTTAAACTTGATGCGCTCTGAAACTACGGGGCGGCCGAGGAAAAAAAATACACATGCGTTAATCGCGTTAAAATAACGCAATTAACGCGTTAACTTGACAGCCCTAGTTTTTATATGTTGAAAAAACGGAGGTTGTGGCTCAGTGTATTGGTGCGCTGATCTTCGGATCTGGTTCGAATCCTGCTACAGTCAACATTCTGCTGTGTCCTTGGGCAAGACACTTCACCCCAAATTGTTCCTGTGGGATTGCCCACAGTATTGAATGTATGTAAGTGGCTTTGGATAAAAGCGTCTAAGTAACAAGTGACATGTAATGAAACGTTTTGTGACATGGCTGCAAGGATCAAAAGTTGACTTCCTTTTCTACTCTTTGTTTGATGAAATACGCTAAAACTATTAGACTCGGGAGGATGAGTGTGCATTTTATTTTCACCCTGAGTCGTTCATATTTTAGAGCTTTGTCCACATCGCCCAGCACTAAAGACGAGGCAAACTTACATTTTTAATCAAATCCTCTGACTGAATACCTTTTCTTCTCCTGATACAAAGAATTTAGCGAATGAATGAATCTTTTTTAACCACTATTGTCCTCCTTTTTGTCTGCAGTACGAGTTCTCCCCTCAAACCCTTTGTTGCTATGGCAAGCAGCTCTGCACCATCCCTACTGGAGGAACATACTACAGTTACCAGAACAGGTACCACTCTTTGTGTGTGTCTTCATAAATGTTTGTATGTGTCCAAGTATAGCTTAGTAGCTATGGGTGGCTGTATACTAAACTTTGTATTAGGAATTTTAATCTCACTGAATCATCTCCCACGTGTTATGTATTTGCAAACACGGTTTTTTATTAAGTGTTTAAAAGGGCAATGAATGCAGCCGTTTGAAGTGTGTTACCCTGCAACCTGGGGTGGTCTGCTCCTCCGCTCTAGAGGGGCCGCTGGGATCCGGCAGGACCGTCATCCTGACAGGCTCGGCTGTAATGACTCTGCCTCTGGGTCCTGACACGGCATGAGTCCACAAAATGGTTTTGCTCTCATCATTTGTTAAAAGCCAGGTTCCAGTGTTGAACATACAGGGAAACACTGTGAAGACCCGACGGTGTCAGTCGCAGAGCAGCACAGCAGTATGTTGATGGTGTTTTGCTCAGCATCTACCGAGGGGCTGAGAGTTTGGTGTTGCTGCTCCTTCTCTTGCACAAAAGATGAAAAAATACATAAAATGTTTCCCATCAGTGCCTTTTCCTTCCACTCGCAGATGAATGCTTGCACAACGCTCCCTTGCGCCCCCTGCTGTACAATCTGGGTAACTGCAGCCCCCCTCTCACACTTTAACTGGGCACTTTGCACAGAAGCAGCCTGACGGAGAGCATGAGGCTCCTGCAGCGCGGCCCATTTACACTCTCAATGGGAGCTTAGGGGTTCCCAGCGCTCTGTTGTAAAACACAAAAGACAAGTGTTGTTGTGTGCACAATTGAACTGGACACACAAGTAGCCGAACACGCACCGTTGATTGTTGAACATGCTGAATGTTGTGTGTGTGTTTTTGCAGGTATCATTTCTGTGAGAAGTGCTTCAATGAGATCCAGGGGGAGAGTGTGACGCTAGGGGACGATCCCGCACAGCCACAGACGTGAGTAGACTGGAAGTTGATAAACCCACAATAAAAAAATGAATAAAAAGATTTCAGTGGTCGGTGAATCAGCCTGTTTTTTTAGAGGCTTATTAGTTATATTTGATGAAAGACCGTGACCCTCACACAGTCAGTGATAAGAAACAACCAGAGCCTAGGACTGAAGATAGCTAAACTAAAATATGGTTGTGTTTGTACAGTTCTCCTTACTAACTCTATTTATTCCCTTGTATTCCCGACACTTCAGGAGAATATCAAAAGACCAGTTTGAACGAAAGAAGAACGATGTTCTCGACTCTGAACCGTAAGTTGACACAAACCACACCCTGTCTGAGAAGGACTAATACTGACACTTATGTGACGTTCTTTCTTTGCTCAGTCTAATAAAACATATTACTACACTTTTGCAATGAATGCACAGTCTTTACATTTTCTCTCTGGATGTTTCTGATCAATCCCTTTGGTATCAGTGAGGCGTCAGGGCAACTGGGCAGTGTCAAAACACTCTGTCTCTTGATGAGTATTTCTTTCAGAGAATCCAGGCTCTTAGTTTTTTGATATGTAATGAGTTCCTTCAACATTGTCATTACAACTATGTACTCCCAGTAAGGCACTTTGGCATTTGTTGCTTGCTGCCAGTTAGGACATCAACATTTATACAAATGATGTCAGAGTTCATATAGAAGAGCTACGTAGACTAACTGTAGCTTGAGAGTGCAATGCTATACTTTAACCTTTTGGCCAACACTCTCAGTCAGGTAGGTTTGAGAATCTTGTTCATGTGTAGCTGCTCTGAAATGTCTGACTGTATGTTTGCTTTTCTTTAGGTTTGTTGATTGTAAAGATTGTGGACGGAAGATGCACCAGATATGCGTCTTACACTACGACACCATTTGGCCATCTGGGTGAGATTTCAATTTCTACTTCACTTAATTTTGCATAAATTGTTTTGTTGCATATTTTGAGTCTTAATTATAACAATACGTCTAATTTCTCTCACTTCTTTCCAGATTCATCTGTGACAATTGTTTAAAGAAGAGTGCAAAAACACGGAAGGACAACAAGTTCTCTGCAAAACGTTAGTTCATTTCTCTTCATCTGAGTGTTATGTATTTAAGGTCTTTGAATCAGTCTTTCAGTGTTCCCTGCAGTCTTCAAAATGTCAACAGATTATTGTGCCTTTGTCTCACAAGCACTGAAGACACGAGACAATTTAAACCACCTGCACATGGGCAGCATATGGCTTTCCTGCAATGGGGGCCTTTTTTATGATGTTGGCCTCACTGGTATTTTAGTTTGGTGTTTTTAAACCTGGAAACAATTCTGACCTTTATGTCATATGGTGCTAACAGTTTCAAGATTTCATGATGCCCCATAAATCTGTTCTAGTGCTTCTCTTGTTTTCTTAGATTGAAGGCTACTGCAGGCTTTTTAAGGACATACTGTGTAACCGCTGCTTCTCCATTCTTTTGGAAAGTTAATATTGTTTTCCTTATTCCTGGTTTTTACCACTATAGGGCTGCAGTCCACACGGTTGGGAATGTACATAGAGGACCGTGTGAATAAATACTTGAAGAGACAGAACCACCCGGAGGCCGGAGAGGTGTTTGTGCGGGTGGTGGCGAGCTCCGACAAAATAACGGAAGTAAAACAGGGCATGAAAACCAGGTGAGAGCACCACGGATAAGAACACAGGAGAACTGGGTGTATGTTGTGTAGGCTTTGTTACTGAACCCTTAGGAGTCGACCGCCACGCCGGCGTGATCAAAGAACCTGTTGTATTCAGGTTGACTGAATTAAGGCTGCTTTTTATTGACTCAAGGCCACTTGACTTGAATCGTCCCATTATGCTAAAGAGCTGAAAGCAGCAACACACAAGGCCAAACCTCGGGCTGCTGAATGACTCTTTCTTTCCTAAAAGCCTTAAATTAAATACTTATAATTTTTTGTGTAATTGTAAGAAATGTATTTCCTGTATTATGCACCGTATTCAAGATGATTCATATTATTTTTTAAAGAAATATTAAGGCTATATTAATAGAGTGAAATACAAGTGAAATGTATTCAAAACTGTAAAAAAAATAACAATGTACACGTCAGAGTGGTGAAAAGTTTTTTAAATGATAAACGTACAAAAATGGCTTATGTTTAAGAGATACCGAATACTTTGAAGAGGATTTTTGGCTATACAAGACACTTCACCCTAAATTGCTCCTGTGGGTATTGTCCACATTTGTATCAAAGGTATTGCAAGTCTTATATGTAATGTAAAGCGCTTTCAGCACTTGGAAAAGCTCTAAAATAAATACCATGAATTCTTCTTATTATACATATATAAAATCTCCAGCTTTGCACAGTCCTCACCTTCGTGTTTTGAGGGTCGTGTTCAGTGCAGACTCATGTGATGGTTTAGCTGGCATTAACCCAAGCCATCCCACTATGCTGTTCACACTTTTTTAATATTCAATCTTTCTTCATTACGACAGGTTTGTGGACACAGGTGAAATGCAAGAGACCTTCCCCTACAGAACCAAAGCACTTTTCGCCTTCGAGGAGATTGACGGCGTGGACGTGTGTTTCTTTGGCATGCACGTGCAGGAGTACGGCTCAGAGTGCGCATTCCCCAACACTAGGTCTGTACAGCCAACTCCTGTATGTAACACGTGGCAATAAAGCTGGCATTGGAGTGCTTTTTATGAGTGAAACTGACCATGTTCCCTCTCTCTACCTCTGCAGACGGGTCTACATATCATACCTTGACAGTATTCACTTCTTCAGACCTCGGATTCTACGAACAGCAGTTTACCACGAGATCCTCATCGGCTATCTGGAATATGTCAAGAAACTCGGGTGAGCCTTGCTCTAACGCTCCTTTTCTGCCCAACCTCTTTAAAGAGACGCCATGGGAAATAAGGAGAACGTCGTGATGACATTTCCAAGGAATCAAATGTCCTGACTTACACATGGTCTCTTTGCTCTATCTATGGCTGCAGGTATGCCCAGGGCCACATCTGGGCGTGTCCTCCCAGTGAAGGAGACGACTACATCTTCCACTGCCATCCTCAGGACCAGAAGATCCCCAAACCCAAGAGGCTTCAGGAGTGGTACAGGAAGATGCTGGACAAGGCCTTTGCAGAGAGGATTCTGCATGATTACAAGGTAAGGATTAGGATAAGAAAGAGGAGTGTTGTCATGTTACCTTTTTGGATTCCTGGGTTCATGATCTATTTTCCTGCTAGACTTCTGTGTGAAAAGTTGGTAGTCTGAATTTAATCTAATTTGCTACTATTGTTATTATCAGACATACACATCAAACATGTGAATGCTCAGCGTTTTGGATGACTGCAAACTAGTAGAATACATTTTGAAACGCTCAAATCATCCATGTCTTTTTGTCTTCCCCCCCCCCCCAGGACATCTGCAAACAGGCGACAGAGGACCGCCTGACCACCGCCAACGAGCTGCCGTACTTCGAAGGAGACTTCTGGCCCAACGTGCTGGAGGAAAGCATCAAGGAGCTGGAGCAGGAGGAGGAGGAGCGGAAGAAGGAGGAGAACACTGCTACCACTGAAACTCCAGAGGTACGGTCGGTCGTTGTTGTCATGTTTTGATGCCGAGCAAAGATACTAATGTAGTAGGGATGTGCATAGTGCTGCGTACCTGGACTCACATTCAGGTTCAGGTCCGGACTCAAGTCCAGAGGTTCAGGTTCAGGTCCGGACTTATAAGTCCGGACCTGAACCCATGACTTGTGTCAAGTTGTGTGAGTAACTAAAGTGAACTTATTGTGAGCTAATTATCAATTAAAAATTAACTCATAATTAACTCAAATTCAAACTCATCAGGTTTATTGTGCTCCCTTCCAACTTGTGTCTACATTTCTCTACAAAGTACAAATGTAAAAAAAACACTTTTTGCCACTTAGTCTACAAATAACTTATGACAGCAACTACAGTGAACTACTACAAAGTTCAAACCTTTTTTTCATTTACCAAACTAAAGTAACCAAACAGTCCCTGAGCTGACTGAGCCTAAATCCCTAAAACGTTGCTGAAAGGTAGAGTGTAGAGTAGAGTAGACTATACGCATTACACTGTTACACACCTACTATACAGTATAGACTGCACTGTAGTGACTGACTGTACAGTCAGAGTGTACTATACTGTCTGTATACCATGTCTTTTCTACAACTCTACATGTGTACATTATACAGTGTATACTACATACATAGTGATGTACATACTGGTAGAAATTAAAATCAATGTTGATATGGCGTAATTTTGAATTAAAGGTGGGGTAGGTAAGTTTCAGAAACCGGCTCGAGTGCACTCAAATTTGAAAGTACACAGCCGAAAAGAATCCACCCCTTCCTTCAGACTTCCTTACAGAGCACCTCATCCAACACACATGAACGCGCACATGACGTCAGCAGACTGGTGAAAGTGGCCGCCTGTTGCTGGCGAGTCATTGAAGTACTGCTGCAATGCACGCCCAATGACGGCACGCCCAATGAGGGCACGAGATACATTTGTGCGTGCACGAGATGGAAGGCTGACAGACAGGGCGGCAATCCAATCCGTTTAGCCGGCCCGGCTAAACGGATTGGGCGTGCTTTTTACAGTACTACGGCTTCCACAGATGAATTTTTTTTAATGGATTATTTGTCAAAGCACTTAAGATATTCATTGCTATCGGGATGTTAAGAGCGTTCCATGGAATATAACAAAAAGTGTTTCTCGAGCCGGTTTCTCAAACTTACCTACCCCACCTTTAAATACACTATTTAATTTAAATCAGTTTTATTCTGAAAAAAACGGAAGTTCACACTATTAACTTAATATTTTTATTCTGAAAATTATTCACTTCCGGTTAGCATTAGCATGTGGCGAAATGCTACGTTTTCAAACCGTGAATCGAAGGTGAAATGACATGTGATGTTGTACACTGAGCACACTGGGATTAGCACTCATGTATTGCCGCTGAATACCGTTTATCAGGGAATGTTTAAATAACCACAGACACCAGAATGATGTAATTTAGCAACAGAAAAAGGCAGGAATTGCATTGGACCCGCCCCCCGACGATGCCGGCCAATAGGAGAAGACCTCAGATGACAACAGGAAGAGCAAGAATTGATCTCTTCTACCTGCTGACCTGGGCTGATGGGAGATGAGGAGAGCGCTTCCTTTTGCAATTTCATTTGTACACCACCGCATCTTTTGTGTAATTAAATGCTGTTAACTTTTATAAGCTTCCCTTGACTCTCTTCAGTCTCTCCTCCCTTCAGGGAGGTTTTAGATGGTTTAGAACAAGAAGGAGAATATACGTAAGTGCTAGTTTTTTTGCGAGTCCAAGTACCGGTTCCCAACGTTCCGGTTTTAACCGGACTTGAACCGAAACTTTTTACAAGTCCAGTACCGGTTCGGCGTACCGGTACGCAGCACTATGTGTGCATCTCCATCACTGAAGCCGATGCGATGCGCATCTCGATACGTTGTCACGATACGATACATTAACGATACATTTGAAACACCAGGCGATGCGATACGATACGATTCACCCCTGTTGCGATACAGTTCGATACGCTTTGATTCAACATTATGTGATTCGGGGCGATACGATGCGATTCAACACGATGCAAAATAATGATACAATTCAATTTGGTACGACAGAGGATTTTGTTTTATTCCTTATATGCAGCAAATCATAAATTAACAAAAAAGTGCTTTCCATATTTGGTTGTCTCTACTAGTACTGCGCATCCCATCATGCTGTTTATGTTTTACCTTAAAAAAACAACACTTGGACCTTTCACAAACTAGCCTTTTCACAAGTGTAGTATTCTCTCTCCAGAGTACAGTACAATTGTATAACACCTCACAGTTAAACAATTTAAGGATGCATTGTCTATGATTAACAATGTGCAAATAACAACTACCATAGAGCAATGCCCATACAGCTGCCAGCCTGATCTGCTTAACACTCATTCATAGGCTAACTCACCAGAGAGCAGAAAGCAGTGGGTTCTATATGAACAATAAAGAATACAAATAACCTTTCACAAACAGCTCTATGATAACTGCTTACAGGAAGACATTTAAACTATTATTGGCAGTCACAGTCTGCTGTAAACTAAACACCTCTCTCTCAGACAGAACACCTCACTGAGTGATTTAACTCATGTCTAACTTTCAGGTTTCTCTTTTCAGCCGCAGACCCCATGTCGCCTCTTTATGTGCGTCGCTAAGTTCCTCGTACTACTTGTGTACTTTAAAGCGGCACGGCATCGTTAACAATTTGTGAGCGATTTTTCAACTTTGTCCGTCTTTCTTGAAAAATCCAAAGTGTTGCCAAACGTTTGATTTGTAGGTATTTTTCGGTGCGCTGTGTTTCTCTTTCTCTTCGACTTCCATGTGTGTTGATAACTGAGACTCTCTGCCTCCGTAGTGCGAAGCAAAGATCGTGTCTGCTGAGTGCTGACAGGATGAGAGGATATTATATGAATGAATCGTTCTTTTACTGATGCAAAGACGCTACAATCGATGCATCGCAAGTTCAACCTAAACTGTAGCCGATGTGCACTCTTTCAACCGGTGCACTCCCATTTTGAACGTTTATGCCGGTGCACAGATGCGAATCTTAACATCCCTAAAATGTACAACTTCATGTTTTTGGATCTTTGAGAGCTGTTTTGCACTCCACAGCTTTTATAACCCTAACATTTCTTTATTAACATGGTTAACACATGGAATATTAAAGATGGAGAAAAGTCAAAATATGGGATCATTTGGTACTTCTTTTTAAAAAATTATCTGTTGTATATTTCCCACAGGGTACACCAACCGACAGCAAAAACGCTAAGAAGAAGAACAACAAGAAGACCAATAAAAACAAGAGCAGCGTGAGCCGAGCCAATAAGAAGAAGACTGGGATACCGAATGTAGCCAATGATCTGTCCCAGAAGCTTTACGCCACCTTGGAGAAGCACAAGGAGGTCAGACTTGTTTTGATTTTGTATTTGTATTGAAGCCATTGAAGCCAATATTAACATTTGTTTATTAGATTGTTATAAAAGGCAATGGTTTGTCATTACTATTGGATTTCATGATACTCCCCCCTCAGTGTAGTGATAGCAGTTGGAGTTTAGCTTGTGCTTATATCTATATTTATTTTCCCCGACTGCTGAAGGTGTTCTTTGTGATCCACCTCCACTCCGCTCCCATGGCCAACACCCTGCCGCCCATCGTGGACCCCGACCCCATGCTCTCCTGTGACCTAATGGACGGCCGCGATGCCTTCCTGACTCTGGCCCGGGACAAACACTGGGAGTTCAGCTCCCTCCGGAGGTGCAAGTGGAGCACCATGTGCATGCTGGTGGAGCTGCACAACCAGGGCCAGGACCGCTTTGTCTACACCTGCAACGAGTGCAAACACCACGTGGAGACTCGCTGGCATTGCACTGTGTGCGAGGTGAGTGACTACTGAAAGATATGCCATTAGCACGCTCTGATGAGTTTTTCCACTGGATTGACTTGGATGAGGATACATCAAGAACAGTATTTATGTTCCTCATTGAGTACGAATAACCACCTTCTAAATGAAGAATTCCAAAATGTATTTCCATGAATGAGTAAAGTTCAAATATTTGTGAACATTAGCTACTCTCTGGTAATAGGAGTGAAAATATTTCTATGGAGCAGCTCCAAACTTTATCCTTGATAATATCACACAATTACAGTTTCAGCACTCCACTGTTTGGATCTGTGAGAAGGTTGTTCATGTTTACTCGTACTTTTCGACTGACAATGCTCCTTTCCCCCCTGCAGGACTTTGATCTATGTATTAATTGCTACAACGTGAAGGGCCACGAGCACCAGATGGTGAAATGGGGCCTCGGCCTGGACGATGACGGCAGCGGCCAGAGTGGAGAGGCCTCCAAGAGCCCGCAGGAGAGCCGGCGCCTCAGCATCCAGCGCTGCATCCAGTCCCTGGTCCACGCATGTCAGTGTCGCAACGCCAACTGCTCTCTGCCGTCCTGCCAGAAGATGAAGCGAGTGGTGCAGCACACCAAGGGCTGCAAGCGCAAAACCAACGGGGGCTGCCCCGTATGCAAGCAGCTCATCGCTCTGTGCTGTTACCACGCAAAGCACTGTCAGGAGAACAAGTGTCCCGTCCCGTTCTGCCTGAACATCAAGAACAAGCTCCGCCAGCAGCAGCTGCAGCACCGCCTGCAGCAGGCGCAGCTCATGAGGCGGAGAATGGCCTCCATGCAAGGCAGAACCATGCCGCTACCGTCCCCCCCGGCCTCTGCTGCCCCCAGCACTCCCAGTGCCCACACCCAGCCCAACACACCTCAGACCCCTCAGCAGCCGCTTTCCAACCAGCCGCAGACCCCCAACTCGGCAGGCGTCATGTCCCCAACTTTTCCCAACGTTCCTCGCAACGGGCAGCCTCAAGCACCGGTGTCCCAGGGCAAGCCCGGACCCCAGGCTTCCCCCCTGCACCAGCAGCAGTCCCCTCTCCCCCAGCCCCCACTCCCTCAGCAGCTCCAGCAGCAGCCGCCCCTCGCTGCAGTCAAGATGGCGCGGCACATCGAGATGATGGCACAGGCCCAGCAGCAGAACCAGCAGAACTACCGGGTCAACATGAACGGCTTAACCATGAACCCCCAGCAGCCTCAGCAGCGCATGCCCGGGCCGATGCAGCCGCCCATGCAGATGGTGCCGGGCCCCCGAGGACCCCAGGTCATGCAGCCCGGCATACAAGGTCAGTGGCCAGGAGCCGCGGGGCCGATGCAGGCGGTTCAGAGCCAACAAGTGGGCCTGGTACCAGGCCAGGCGCCGCAGCAGGCCCTGAGCATGCAGCGAGGCCTGATGGTCCCGGGGCAGCAGCCGGGACAGAGGATGATGATTCCCCAGCAGCCTGGTGCTCGGCTACAAACGCCCCAGAGACCGGGAGCCATCGCACCAAACGCCCTGCAGGACCTGCTCCGCACGCTCAAGTCTCCGAGCTCCCCCCAGCAGCAGCAGCAGGTTCTCAACATCCTCAAATCAAACCCTCAGCTGATGGCTGCTTTCATCAAACAGCGAACAGCCAAGTACCACGCCAACCAGCCGCAGCAACCGCAGCAGGCGGGTCAGCAGCCGCAGCAACCAGGCATGCCAGGGATGCAGACCATGGCCCTGCCAGGGGGGGCAGTCCAGAGGCCGGCGATGCCCCCCCAGCAGCCGCAGCAGCCCCCTGCACAGGGCTTGGCTGCATTAGGTGCCCAAGGGATGATCAACGCAGCCCACACCAACCCACAGATCCAGGAGCTCTACCGTCGGCAGCTTTTAAGACAACAACAACAGCAACAACAACAGCAACAACAACAGCAGGGGGTGATGCCTCAGGGCCATCCAGGCCAGTTCCCGGCTCAGACGCAGGGCACGGCAGCGACATACTCCCAGCTCCGCATGCAGCAGCAGCAGATAGCCATGCAGGCCAATGCAGGAGCCGCCGGGGGGCCCATGGGACCACTGCCCCCCATGGCTCAGATGGCCCAGCCCGGCATGGTGACGGACTCCACCAAGGCCTTACTGCATCAGAGAATGCTCCAACAGCAGCAGCAGCAGGCCATCCTCAAGCAGCAGATGGGCTCTCCTGCACAGCCCGGTCCCATGAGCCCCCAGACCCACCTGCTGGCTGGCCAGCCCCAGGGTGGAGCCCACCTCCCCGGACAGCCCACACTAGTAAACGTCCTCAACAACCAGGTCCGCTCCCCCGCCCCGGTCCAGTCCCCCTGTCCGCCCTCGCAGCAGCAGCCCCAGCAGCCGCGGCCACATTCCAGCCCCTCCCCGCAGGTCCAGCCCCAGCCCTCGCCCCAGCACCCGCACCACTCTGGTTCCCCCCACCCGGGACTAGGGGGCCCGCTCTCAGGGTCCCTGGAGCAAGGACACATGGGACACCAGAACAAAGCGCTATGCTCCCGCAGCTTAACACGCCCAACAGAGGGGGGCTGAATAGTGACTTGGGTTTGGCGGGAGACGCTACAGGGGACACTCTGGAGAAGTTTGTGGAGGGATTGTAGCATTTTTGCTCGGAACTAAAAAAAAAAACACAATCTCCATCCCCACTCTATTTTTCCTCGGACTCTTTGTCCGATGGAGGGCTTTGTTTGTTCTTTCTAAGGTTGAGAGCATTTTTTTGTACTGACATGTAAAAAGTTTCAACTGTTGTAAAAAAAGAAATTTGGTCGAGGAAAAAAATAACAAAAAAAAAGCTAAAACTTCGAGGGAATGTAATTGTTTCCTAAAAGTTGCTTCTCAAATGGAATTTAAATCACAAAGAATATATTTTTTGGTTGAGACCAAATGTGTTCAATACTCAATTTATTTTTGGTTTGTTTTTGGTATGTTTTCATGCCTTTCTCCTTTCTTTTTTAAAAAGAAAATGTACAATTGCATTATATTATTCATATCTTTTTATTTTGTACCTTTGGAAAATAAACTTAAATAATTGTTGTGTTGAAACTGTAAAATAATTTGTCTGGGAATTTGGGCCAGGTTTTCGTTCTTTTCTCAAGCTGTTATTCCTGGCAATTGTAATCTAGTGTTGTACGATTACTCCGAAACGATGCGTTCAGGGACCGCTCCCCTCCTCGTTGTGTGTATGAAGAGCACTCAGTTGTATTGAAATAGGAAATGGACTGCGGCGGTTGTTTTATACACGGGCATGTACACGGGCGCACATGAAGACACTCACACAAACCCTCACTGTCACCGAAATAACGTCAGCTGGTTTCACAAACACAGAAAACAAGGACTGCAACCTACATCTCAGTTGCCTGGAAATGGGAAAACGTTGTCTTGCTGGTGTGGAACATTGTTGCTTTGACATTAAAAAAAATAATTTGTCATACAAATGTTGTAAAGTGTGAGAAAGAGACCAGCCCCCTAAGCTGAGGTGGAATGATCACTGGTTGTTTGTCGGACACATCTCTGACGGAGCCACATCCTCTAAATGTTACACTAAGCTGTGTGCGATAGAGATGAAAGGCACGTTTGAGATTCACCCTGAGGAATATTTCATCAACTCTCATTCCGCTCACTAAAACTTGAATTGGGGGGATTTACTTTTTCTCCTATTGTAAATCAAGTTAAGAAAAATACTATAAATATAAGGAAGAGAGATGAAATCACTGTATAAACTGGTTAAAGACTCATTTCTTACTTATATACCATATTGTTAAATAAACTGTGCAGCAGAATATCTCCAGTACTCTGTTGACCAAATAATGAAGCATCACTCCTGTGTGTACCTCCTTTGTTTCAGATCAGTTTTCCCTATCAGCATTAAGGTTGCGTTTAAAAACAAGTGATAACGGTTAAAAGGGTGGTGAGTTTGAAGTGTCATAGTTTCGGATCAGAGTGCATGAGTTTTTAATCGGAGTAACAATTTGTAGATAGAGCTGACATTTTGTAAACTGTAAACGGTTACTAAAATGACCACAACACGGACCCGGTGATTAAAGGTAAAGGTAAACACTGAATAAAGTAGTTTCATGTGTTTCTCCAGGGCAGTTCGGAGCTGCTAACCGAGCTAGCTCAGCTTGTTGCTCTGATAACTTAAGATCCAGACGTCCGTGACTAAAATCCGGTTAAATATAGTTAAAAAAATACCAATTGTATAGTCAATTCCTGTATGTTTTAATATCGCAATATATATCGCAGGGGGGGGGGGGGGAATCGCAATGTCAGTTGTTTCCAATATCGTGCAGCCCTAGTCCTGTCAGGATTCCATGCTCATCATAAATATACCCTTAGAGTAGACTATAGTTACAGTGATATTGGAAGGAGGGTTGAAGATGGTGTTGTTTAGCTTTTAAACACAATTCTAGCAGCAGTAATCTCAGTTTTGTCAGACATATCCAATATCCTACATTAGGGAAACCATTAGAATTACACATTGTCTGAGTAAAATAAGCAGAGGTAACACAGACATAATCTCAGTACTAGTTTTAGTACCAAGACAAGTAGGCCTACTGGGTGAAAACACAAAGTATCAAAGTTATAGATTGTGAAAAAGTATAAGCAGTACATACAGAATAAATAAATGCAATACAGAAGCATTTGAAGCATATTAAAAGTTCCATCAATTCCATAGCAAAGGGAGAAAGAGTAATGTTTTATTTAATTCTTCTGCAGGTCCATGTGTAATCAATAGGCTTGTTTGAGATGAGCTGCGGCTCGCCTCCAAAGTAGACGAGAATAGCCGATTGCAGCCGGCGGAGGTCTCAGAAATGTGTTTAATCGTTAATGTCAGATATGTACTAAGTAAATACATTTGTTCCTGCTCAAGATTAGATTTAGCTTTATTGTTATTGCCAGTGGCGTTTTTATATACAAAAGTGGTGGGGCACAAAAAACTTAGATGTCTATATATATATATAAGCTTCTGCAATGAGGTTCATGGCTGGTGAGGCACTGGCACTGACTCTTCAGGTTTACAAATATTATATTTTGACCTAAATCAAAATACAATATTATTTTCAAAAGCTTTTTTTGTCTGATGCTTCGATTAATTTTAAACAGACAGTTCAACAAAAGGATACCCAAAAAATGTAATTTTATCATTTAAATATGGAATTGTTCTCTCTTAGTAAGATCCCATTTTCAATAAAATTGCGCTCTTACCTTGACTTGAAGATGAAGTCCATTTGCCTATCCTGGACAAAAATCTCTATTACTTTTTTGTAAAAGTCCTCCTTATCTTCTTGTAGTTTCAAAAGTCTATCATAAATCTAATCGATAGATTTATGATTCGAAAATTATAAAAGTAGGGTAGACATGTGGATATTATCCGGCTGAACAAAACGTGCATTTATCTAACAGGTAGGCCTACGTTTCCCACAGATCTTATTTTGAGCTATTTTCTCAAATGATGTGAGATGACTTATGGTGGGGATGGCAGCTCACTGTTCAGGTTTGAACGTTTGATTTGAGGGATTGTTCTGCAAGCAGCTGGCCGCGTGTTGCTTCGCGACTGACAGTCGGAGCTAGAGCTACGGGTCGTTAACGCGTCCTCCAGGAGCTGTGGCCGGCTGTGCGCTGTGCAGAGCCTCGACAGACAGGTTTGTGTCAGCTTGTTGCTGGTGATGGCTGTGTCCCCGCACCCTCTCCCAGCCAAGTTGTCCTGATTGCCGTCTTATTTTTTGTTTGGCTTAGACTTTCTGGTGACGACAGTGTTCCCGCTTCCTCTCCCATAAAGTTGCCCTTATGCTCTTTTGATAGTTCTGCTTGTGGCGTTGTGCCCGAGCTATCATTAGTGCGAATGCTGTTTACAGCATTCCACTAGTGCTTCAAATCTTTAATCCCCTTATTATTATTTCAGCCAATACTTTGGCTCTCCATAACTTCAGTTTATTTTCAGCTACAGAAAACATTCAAATATTAAACTATTCAGTCTGTTCAGGAATCGATGGGAAACCTTCAACTTTTTCAAAATATTTCATACTTTTTGAAATATTCAGCTTTTTAAACTCTTTTTTTTAACATTGAAGTCAATGGGAGATGCCTTCAAATCAGCCAATACTTTAGCTCTCCATAACTTCAGCTTACTTTCAGCTGCAGAAACCATTCAAATGGTAAACTATTCAGCCTTTTCAGCAATTGATGAGAAACTTTCAACTTTTTCAAAATATTTCATACCTTTTGAAATATTCAGCTTTTTAAACTATTTTTGTTAACATTGAAGTCAATGGGAGATGCCTTCAAATCCTGTTTTCCTACACCTTGCGCCAAATGCTACTCCTTCCACATACTTTCAGCTAGACACTTCATTCCGGCTTTCAGATGACCACAAGACCTTCAGCTATTCAAAATTGACTTTTATTGTTGATATCTTTTAAACTTTTTGAGATATTGAATTTAGTTTGGAGCTTGGTAGAGGCCTTTTTCAGATTTTAACATTAGAGTGGATGGAGCAGCTCGTTAACGCTAGAGTGCTTTGATCTCAAAACAGAGTGCAGCAGTGCCTGAAATTCTCCCCAAAAATTATTTTAAACTTGCCATAATTCCCAAACCCTACACTCCTCAGACATATTTTTTCATGGAAAACGTAGGAAAACCTCCCCTAGGTTGGAAAATAAAAAAAATTAAGAAAAAAAATTAAACAAAATGCCTCTTGAGGGCATGAAGAGAGAAAAAGTCCAGCTAGCTCCCAATTGATCCCCATGTTAAATTGTTCTGGATCTTTCTTCAGAGCAGGGAGAAGTACACTTTAGACAAACTGCTCCCATCTCCACATTGTACACACAAAACCCCAAAAAACAACATATTTCAGTTCATTGGGGTTCCCTGATGCTCACGGTCTGGTAATTTTTTGATAAGAGCCATAGTTTTTGAACAGGTGGCAAAATTGTCAGATATAATCCCCAATGCATTCTGGGACTCAGTGCTGCAGTTGGTTGTCATGGTGTTGCTGGGCAGATTGGAGCCAGACACATACACGTGAGTCACATCATCCAATCAGAGCAGACACCATGGAAACCTTTGATCTCTGGGTTTACACACACAGGTGTTTGTAAACATTCAATCACTACTACTTACATTTAATATCTTTATTTAACTCCTTCAGCCTAATTTCAGCTGCAGGAACCATTCAAATATCAAACTATTCAGCCTTTTCAACACATGATGGGAAACTTTCAACTTTTTCAAAATATGTTATACTTTTTCAAATATTCAGCTTTTTAAAGTCTTTTTTTTAACATGGAAGTTATTGCAATGCATTTGAGCTGTAACAATTAACACACACACACTCCCTCTCGCTCACACACACACACACACACACACACACACAGACACACTCTCTCTCTCTCTCAAACACAGGCACACACACACAAACACACACACACATACACAGACACACCACACACACACTCACTCTCAAACACAGTCTCTCTCTCTCTCCCCTCCCTCTCTCTCTCTCTCTCCCTCCCTCTCTCTCTCTCTCTCTCTCTCTCTCTCGAACGGTCAGATATACAACTCAATGCATTCTTATGGGATGCAGTGCTGCAGTTGGTTGTCTTTGATCACTGGACACACACAGGTGTTATGAGTAGGTGATCAGGAACAGAAACAAACACTGACAGACTGGACTTTAACAGACTGTCTAAGCCTATTCTTTTCTGTCTGATGGAGACTTCATACAGACTTCAACAGGTTCCACATATTGTATACATTATTGGTGACGTATGGTTTTAGTCGAAAGGTTTGCAGTCAAAATAATCTTCTGCTTTCCCAAGCCTTTTTACTTTCTTTTCTCATCTTAATACAAATTCATTCACTACTACTTACATCTGATATTTCACTCCTTCAGCCTATTTTCAGCTGCAGAAACCATTCAACTATTACATTATTCAGCTATTTCAGGACATCAAGGCTATACGTGTTGTTATTTATACCTTTTTTAAAACATTTTCTTTTAAATATTAAGCTTTTTCTGCATTTTTGTAGCTAAAAGCAGCTACCATTCAGCTAATAACATATTCAGCTTTTTCTGCATTTTCAGCTAAATTCAGCCATAAATGTTCACAGTTTACAGCATTCGCACGCATCTTCTGCAGGAAATGCATTTTCTAGTTATAAACGTTAGTCCTTCACACCTATGTACATCAGCGGCGCCGGATTCATTTCAGAAGTGGGGGGGGCCAAAAAGTGCGTGTGTATGTGACACAGGCTACTTGCCAACCCTCACGATTTTCGCGGGAGACTCCCGTTTTCCTCCCGGGGTCATATTTATCCCGCATTTCTCCCGATTTCTGACTAAATCTGATTTGTTTCATTCTAACATAACGCACCAAATGTTACTGTTTCCACTCGGACTTCAATACAGCCACACCATTGTTTGGTTTCCATGGTAACGTGTCTCTTTAGTAGCGCGAGCAAATGAAAGTCTGAGAGGGTCTTCAGGAGGAAGATGGTCAGAGAAAACAGAACAAGAATGGACAACTCAACCCTCTGCTCACTCCTTTCCTGTACATTAAACTATACAGACCAGCCCACATATGACAGCGCAGTTGCTCATTCCATCTCTTCTTTTTTCCTGCTACGCTCTTGTTTGACAAGCTGAATGTTGACTGGTGTTTGACTGAAGTAAGCTCTGTGAAAAGTTCCAGTTATTAACTCGGTATTTACAAAGCTGTCATCTCCACATTTGGAGAAAGTTACAAGCCGTTTGACAGCATCACATCTGCATATTTCACAGAAGGCTCGTTTAGTGGTTTTGCAAATAATTAACCACTCTCTGTTTTTGTACCATTCTGCATTGAAGTACCTTCTCTTTGCCCAAATAAGCTTTTATTGGCCCGTCACAATGTCCCGACAACAAACCTCCATGCAGTCGGAACCAGCCTGTTTCGGTTCAACGATGCCGGCGGCGGCGGTTTTGACAGCCTCTGCGGCCGCAGAGCTGCTGCTGGGGTTCATCTGGCTGCGCTGGTTCTATGTTTGAAGGACCAGGCTCCGGAGTTGTGGATGTCAGGGATGTGACATTCAAGTTGTTGAATTTCAGCTTAGTTTGACTGTATTTTGTTTTCTTATGCGCCGGTTCTTCTGACATGTTTGCAAGTTTATCTATCTAGGTTAACGGCTGACACACACTGAACAACGTAACACATAACGTAAACAACGTAACAAATAAACACATCTAAGCTTTGTTATTGGTTGTAATGTACATGGATACATGATTTGAATGGTGTGATAATGTCCTATTTCATTGGATTAAAATGTACATATTCTTCCTGTTATGTCTGCCTGCTGTATTTTACCTAATGCAAAGTGACCTGCTCCATCGAAATCAGTCGCATTGATCCGAAGACACATTTTGAGTTGTATACACTGTTGGAAAGAGGAGATTCCTAGCTTTCTAATGATATCAGGATTGTTTTTGTACTACATTAAGCAAAATATGTCACATTATATAATGACTGTCACCGAGTCATCATTTTGAGAAAAAGGCCTTAAAGTTTCCTCTTCTCTGGATCGATGATTATTAGCGGAGCAAATGATCAAAGTAGTACGGAGGGAAGATATTTTCGTTTGGATTACTGGTCTGGGGGAGCTCGCGAGTGTGTGCGTGTATACCACGTGTGTGTGTTTGTGTATTTTTGCGTTTGTTTCCCGGGGAAAACTTTCAGGAGAAACACCGGCTGTTGTTATGCTTGCTGTGACGTCAAATTACTCCGTTCTCCGCTTGTAATTATGCCGTTAAAAGCTTCAAAGCTGTATTTATCATCTGAATTTGCCGAAACAAGTTTAATATTCTGAAAGCCAAGACTTTGTTTATTTGAAATCAGATGAAAACAAACTGTAACGGACCCTGCGATGTTATCTATGATTACTATGCCTTACATTCATAATGTCAGCGGAGGGAGGGGAAGCGGCGCTGTAGAAGAGCATAGTGGCGAGTGAGAGGCGAGCTGTGTTCTTCCCTTTACAAGCTTAAAAAATGCCTGTACAGTAGCTAATGAGATTGAATATAACAATCAACAATAACAAAATATACACAGCTAGATCAGATGGCGTTCTTTTTAGATGCGACTTTAGAGTAGAGGGGAATTATTGAAACGGGATGTGTACAGGATTCCGCGGCATCCGCTGCTGCGAAAATGTGGGGCAGGGCCGTAAAGTGGGGGGGACAATGGCCCCCTGGCCCCCCTGCTTCCGGCGCCCTTGATGTTGTACATCACCATTCAAACATCTTTTAAAAGTTTAACAAACCCCACACAGCTCAGTGAAATGTTGACTTTATTTGATCATTTCAGTAAAAACTAACGTTCATATTTCTCTTTGATTATAATACTGATGAACGTTCAAAACAAAGCACTTTGGCAACTTACCACATACGTTTTAAAATGCTTAATGAGCACCGTAACTTTCATGATATAATTTCTCCGTCATAATCGTTTGTTTCCGTGAACGGCCGACTGTTGTGTGACGCAAATGCTGCGGCTGCAATGCATTGTGGGGCAGCATTTTCTCCTCTCCTTTCGGTTAGGGAGGTCCAGTGGTTCCTAAGCTAAAGGAGATTATAAAGGAAGTTTGAAACCTCCTTTCCTATCATCTAGAGCAGTGTTTCTCAAACTTTTTCATACCAAGGACCACTTAACCAATAAAAAAAAACTCGCGGACCACCTAACTCCACAAATATCCCAAAACACATCGTTTTTGTATATTCTCATTTTTTGAAAATGGTACAAACAAGTGGCAACATGTGTGATGAAGGTGTTTATCTGGGCTATATCATGCAATCGAAAGTGAAACTTAAGCTCGCTCCATTGCGGAGATATTCCCGCGAGAGTGCGGAAAACTTAAATGTATTTATTTATAAAAAATGTGAAATGTTACCAATATACTCACGGACCACTAGGGGGCGCTCACGGACCACCAGTGGTCCGCGGACCACACTTTGAGAAGCACTGAAGGGCTGCTTCTCAGGTCGACTATTTTCATTTCCTCGCTCCTCGGTCCTCGGTCTCACCGGAAGTTGATTTGCCTGCGCCATCTTGAGTACCGTCCCATGGCTCTTATTTCTGCCGGAGGATCGAGGAGCGAGGAGCGATCATGGAGGAGCGATAACCGAGGAACCACCAGACCATCCTCCGATGAAATCCTCAGATACTCACCCCGCCCCCTTACTGTGTATCGCTCACTGATTGGACGAGGCAGTGCATGCACTGATCTGATGCTTCTTGACATGAGAGCAATACCCCAGCGGAGTGAAGAAAATACATGAACCTCACGGGACTCACTCCTCAGTTTATACCGTGTTTTGTTTCAATTAATGTATCATTTAGTTACAAATATGTGATATATCTGAACAACAAAGTGGTCACAAATCATTTTATTCATTTTTTGGAAACATTTTCATGATCACTTTTTTCGTTTTACATTTTCATTTATTGTCATTTCCATTCAGTCAGTCATTAAGTGCTATTAAAAAGTTAATGTGCTACATATCCACACAAACACACAAAGTGTGCAATCCAATGAATGTTAATCTAACTGGGTTTTGATAGATAACATATCTCTTTTTCTTCTCTCAATTATTTTATTTCTATTGTGCACTCTAATCAATATTAATCAAACTATTGTTCGTTTACATTTTAAGAATGGCGTTTATCTTTTTTGAGAATGACTTCTTATTTTATTTCATGTATTTGGATCTACAACAGATGATACTAATGTTTATGTCAGTAAATGTGCACTAACAGAGGCGGGGGTGTTTGTGGAAATAACGGGTACACAGCTGGCTGCTGCCAGACGAACAGCTGTGTAGCGTCATCACAAACGGACGTCGCTTCACGTGACGCTCCGGAGGAAAGGACGTCCCATTGCTCTTAAAACTCATTTAATCATTTAATCGACCTGAGAAGCAGCCTTCTCAGGTCGATTAAATGAAATCCTTAAATTAAATTAAATCCTTGCTTCCCTCACTTGCGTCGTTTCCCTGCGTTTAGTCTCTCCCACCAGGGAAGCATGGAGGGACACAAGGAAACCACGAGAAGCAGGGAAATGAGTTTTAAGAGCAATGGGACGTCCTTTCCTCCGGAGCGTCACGTGAAGCGACGTCCGTTTGTGATGACGCTGCACAGCTGATCGTCTGACAGCAGCTCTGTCCCCGTTATTTCCACACACCCGCCTCTGTTAGTACACATTTACTGACACAAACATTTGTATCATCTGTTGTAGACCCAAATAAATAAAATAAAACAAGAACTCATTGTCAAAAAAGATAAACGCCATTCTTAAAATGTATAAACGAACAATAGTTTGATTAATATTGATTAGAGTGCACAATAGAAATAAAATAATTGAGAGAAGAAAAAGAGATATGTTATCTATCAAAACCCAGTTAGATTAACATTCATTGGATTGCACACTTTGTTTGTTTGTTTGGATATGTAGCACATTAACATTTTAATAGCACTTAGTGACTGACTGAATGGAAATGACAATAAATGAAAATGTAAAACAAAAAAAATGATCATGAAAATGTTTCCAAAAAATGAATTAAATGATTTTTTTTAGTGTTGACCACTAAATGATACATGAATTGAAACAAAACACGGTATAAACTGAGGAGTGACTCCCGTGAGGTTCATGTATTTTCTTCACTCTGCTCTCATGTCAAGAAGCATCAGATCAGTGCATGCACTGCCTCGTCCAATCAGTGAGCGATACACAGTAAGGGGGCGGGGTGAGTATCTGAGGATTTCATCGGAGGATGGTCTGGTGGTTCCTCGGTTATCGCTCCTCCATGATCGCTCCTCCGGCAGAAATAAGAGCCATGGGACGGTACTCAAGATGGCGCGGGCAAATCAACTTCCGGTGAGACCGAGGACCGAGGAGCGAGGAAATGAAAATAGTCGACCTGAGAAGCAGCCCTAGAGAATTCGAACGGCACTTATCATGGCTGCCACTGAGGGACTTCCGGGTCATTTCACTCGGTTAGGAAGGTTCCTAAACTAAATGGACTATTCTACTGCAGCCCCGGTCTGCTTGTCTCAAACAAGCCTAGTCATTCGCTCGTTCACCGTCACATGACCAGAAGCTCAGAATAAAGCGGTTGAATAACTCCTTTTGAAATGAAAACAAACCACTTTAGCGGCCTTTTGACTGTTCTAATTGCAATATAATTGACACATAATGCCGCAGATATTTTAAAAAATAAACTAGAATTGCTATTTCTACACTGGTGAATAAACAGTGATAAGGCGGAAAGCTAAAACTAAAGAGAAAATGCATCAAACCTGTGTGAGGATATAGGGTTAGCATAAACAGCTAGCTAACGTTAGCTGGTAACAGGACATGCAGGGATGGACTTCTAATATGAGACAAAGTGCTCCATCATGGATGACTCGGACCAGGACTTTGTGGACATTTGCTCTAAGCTTCTAAAACGAGTCCGCAAGAAACCAGGTGAGTCCAAACAGCCAAAGAGAGCAGAGCACCAGCCCTCCTGTCAGGCAAGCGATGGAGACAAGAGGAGAAGAAATACCAAGAGAGATGTTGCTGACTCTGGGTCTGTTAGTACTGCTGCTGCGGACGGAGAACAGCCTGTGGTGGGTGGGGGAACTGGGCATGGTGCAGGAGGTGCTGAGGTGTTAGCTGTACCTTCAGCAGCAGCAAGGCAGAGAGCAGAGATAGGTTTGACTGCCAAAGATAAAGTCCTCCACAGGATGCAACAGTTCAAGAGAGCCAGTCCACAGAAGATGGTGCACGAGGACAAGAGCCAGCCCTCCCACCAGGAGACTGAGCCTCCCCCACCACTGGCACCGAGACAAGGTGAGATGCTATGATGATGCTCCTGGCACAGATTGTTGATATGAAGCATTGTTGTAGAGGGAATGCAGATATTGCTTCCTCCCACTGTCTGTTTCTATTGTATTTGGTTTTTATATGCCTGGTTTTAATGGACTAAAATGTCCTAGTCAGTGCATGAATCCTTAATTTGGGACAGTTAATATGTCCCAACATGAAAATATGTCAGAAGGAGACTTCTATTAGGTCTGTGAGGTTTTACTGGAATAAACAAAATAATTGAATACCTCCAAAAGAACTGGGTGTAGGGGCCTTACACATTTTACTTACTTGGTCCAGAATTGAATTAACAAAGTTTCTGAAGATGAAGATTGCATAAATGTAATTCAGGAAGTAACCAGCGGCATGTGCTTAAAGAAAAATATTCAAATGCTTAACATATTCATCACGATGCCTAAACTGAGAAATTGCAGAGATTGGGATGTCAGATCAGTGTTAAGTATTGTTTTTTGTTAAGTTCTATTGAAGCTTTATTGTTAAGAGCAGACGCACAGATCACATTATCACTATCAGTACATTATACAGAGTCAGAATATTATACTAATATATAATCTAGCTTTAGTATCACACAATTGTAATTTAAGCACACTTTTTATTTGTATCTGTAGTATTAGTGTAGTAGTATTAGGGTTGCAAAGGGGCGGAAAATCTCCGGTAGATTTCCATGGGAAGTGCAACTGCCATGGGAAGTGCAAGTGCAACTGCGCAGGTCTCGCTTGTCTGAAACAAGCCTAACATGTCCACCTCCTCAGCATCCAACTCTGGGTGTGGTCTCAATAGCCATGCAGTAAGCAGTGTGCTATGTGCATGTGATTGAGGAATGGCATGGATATTCAAGTGTACTTGAATGGCATCTGTTTGTTTTAGTCAAGATTATGCTAAAATATACTTTCCCCAACTATATTTAAGTCAACCTTCAATTTAGAAAATTCCCAGTTTATTCCCGTTAATTCCCATGGAAAGTTTCCATCTTTGAAAATTCCCGGAATTTTGCAACCCTAAGTAGTATTGAAGCTCTATTGCTAAGAGCAGACACACTTGTAACTAAATCATGAAATCAGAACATAATGCACAGTAACAATATCATTTTCACATATCATCCAGTTAGTATCACACAATTGTAATTTAAGCACACCTTTTAATTGTATCTGTATGTGCCCCCTCCCCTCTGTACTCAGGACCTCCAGAGTCCTCCAGCTCCCCCCTCCTTCCGGACCCCGAGGACGGTGACGAGGCTCTGGCCCTGCGGCTGCAGCAGGAGCTGGACAGGGAGGCAGCAGGGGTCCAGAGTGTGGACCTGGAGGAGGGGGGGCTCTTCTTCTGTCAGATCTGCCACAGAGATCTGTCACACATGACCCCAGAGGGACGAACGCAGCATCTCAACAGGTGTGCACATTCACATTGTACCTGTGAAGATTTTAATCAGTGGGCGCACAATCCACCTGGCTGAAACTGAGACTGATTCCTCTCTGCAGGTGTTTGGATCAGAGTGAAGAGAGCGCCCCTGCTCCCCCTCCCCCGCCTCCTGGGCTCCCCGACTGTCCCATCTGTGGAAAGAAGTTCAAGTCCCAGAAGAGTCGCTCGGCCCACCTGAAGCGCTGCTCCTCAGATATGGGGGTCGCTCCGGCGGTGCTGCTGCAGGCGCTGCACAGACAGACTGAGGAGACCCCGAATGTCCCCGCCACCAACACACTGTGAGACCACCTCGCTGTGTCGTAGTAACTTAATATCAGATGCTATCTAGAGAAAATGATGAGTTAACACAATATCGATATAAAGTATTTTAGGATCTTTGTTTAAATATAATTGACACATAATGCTCTTTTTCATCAATATATTCAAAATACCAAACAGATCATTGCAGCATCCCATAAACCCCTCTGTTTCAGCCCTGTTCCAAAAGAGCTGATTCCCTGTCTGTTGCTTTAGATGAAAAATAAGGAGCCCCTCCCCACGCCCCTCTGAGAGATATTTGGTTAAAACTAACACAATGGTGCTCTAGGAGGAGATTCAGGTGATAAGGTGGGGGGGGGGGGGGTTACCTTGGTTGCCGATTGGCTACTTCGAGAGCAAAATTAAGAGATCTATGGATACATCTCTCAACACCCATATGAAACAGAACTGTAAGCATATTTTCTTTTTCTTTATGGATATTTTACAAATCACTCCCCTTTTAAACTTTATTCATGTTTATTAATAACAACTTTGTTTTACTGTCATATATTATTTTATACCTGTTTACTTTATTCTCTTATTTTTTTATAACTATAATGATCATATAAAGATGTGCCTTTACCTCACTGGTGGTAGAAAAAGCTTCTTATATTCGTTAGCATAGCTAGCTAACCAGATGCTAATAACAACAAAGTTATTGACTGTATGCTCAGTATGACAGATGAACAGATCGCCACTGGGCTTACAACTAAAGACACAGCCACGCAGAAACTGCAGCATGTGTACAGCTCCTTATGGCTACTGCCATTTTTGAAGTCCCGGAGCGGTGTTCTGGTGCTCTCCGTCAGAATAAGCAAAACTCACACCCTACAAATGTTCTTCTCAGACATAAGGATTTAAAACTCTTGAAAGGATATCATTTAGATAAAGTTAAATTACACTGGGATTACACTTTATTAAGCTTTAATACCATAATTGCCCCAACAGCTGCTTCAGTCTAGCTACAACAAACCTTCTAAAGCCAGTACAAAAACACGACTTCTGTCATTGTTTGGTTTTGTTTTGTAAAGTTTTCTTGTTTAGTAAAAGAGCTCCAACTGCGTTTGTGACAATTAATTATCCTTAATCCTTGAACCAAGAATGTACTATGACATACCTCTGTGCTCTCCGTTGGTTCCAACAATTAAAGCACTTCCTCCAAAAGCATTTTCGAGACATTCAAAATGTGGCTTTTGAAGATGATACACACATCTCTGATAGATTTTTCCAATAATAGCTTGCCTTCAATCGACAGTAGTTCAAACAAAGCCTAATCAAACCTCTCTTTAACCTTTGTCTATTTGTTTTTCTCTCTTCAGAACAGAGACTGGTGGCAATAAAAGAAAAGGCCCCTCCATCCCGAGCCTCCGACCGAGAAAGAAGTCCAGGAAGAAGACGGCTCCTCTGGATGAAGACACCCTGGTGGCCCTGGCTCTGTCCTCCTCTCTGCTGGAACCGGAGCAGCGGAGTGAGAGGGAGACGGAGAGGCTTCTACAAACAGCTGCCCCCAACACCTCCATGACTGCAGCGCTGAAGTGGAGGCCAGACAAGGGTACAGTGACATCACAATATCGTCTGTTAGTCAACACAAAACAGCCTTTAGATGAAACACAGACATACAGCAGGGAATGTTACATCTCAGTGTAGTACAAGTTATGTATGTAGCTTATTATATGCAACCACATTTCCATTTTGTTATAGAAAGACCAAAGATTTGGTTTTTGGGAGAATGAAATGACTTTTTACTGATGAGCCAGAACAAACTGGCATCAGACACTCAATGTGTTCATGGTCAAATAAATCCAAACAAAGGATTCAGTTGTATTGAATATACACAGAGCAAATAGATGCTGCTTTTATACTATGGACACATAACTGGTGATTCTGATTGGATGTGGGGTTTGTATACATTACATATAATTTATATTAGATACTTTTTGTATATATATATTTGTAATGTGTGCATTGCTGTTGGCTTCAGCTGTGTGAGGGCTTCAGCTGCATATGACAATGCAGCACAGGGAAATCTTGTCCAAGACAGAGAAAAGCAGTGCAATAAAAAATCACCTAAATCAGTACTGACAAAAGTTTGATTCAATAAGGAACCAAAGTCATGTGTGCTCTGAACGTCTTGATAATCCTTTTACTGTAACAAGTTGTTATATTTCATTTAAGAGACTCTGATAGGCCTAGAGGCAGTTTTCGTATTTCCTTTTTCATCTTGAAACAATTGAAGAATAGTATGTGTGGTATGTGTCTGCAAGGCACAAACTGTTGAAATGATTCACAATGGTTTTATTTTCCGTGTTACCTAAATTCATTCATTCTTGTTGCAGGTAAGGGCCGTGGAAAGAGGAGAAAGGGAGGTGTCCCCCGCCCCCCCCCTCTCCTCCTGGTGCAGGATGCCCAGGCGGCTCTGACCAGGCTGCAGGAACGCGTCTCCGCTCTGCTCCTACGCAGCCGCCCCCCCTCGCCCCCCACCCCCACCCGCCCCCCCAGCAGCCTGTCTGGCTGGAGCGGGGCGGCCCCTCTCTGGCAGAGGAGCTCCCTGCTGGACGGAGCCTCCACCTGTGAGGCTGACTTCTACACCCCCGAGCTCAGAGAGTTCATCACCCCCTGGGAGCCGCCGAAGGTGTGACGGCAAATACATGTTAATTCTGTTTTAGTTTGACTGAATGAGGAATGTGAAGGACATGTTGAGGTCATGTTCTTTTGAAATAAAATTTTTAAAAAAGCTCCAAGAACTAGAGATCAGAAGGTTAACACAAGGGTTGGAAAACTTTGAAAGGGGGAAACTGTAATTTATTTGTATTCTATTTGAATTGATTCACAATCTCCTTAAAAAGGGATTACTTAAAAAGTGAACACATACATAACAAACATACTAAACAACAGACGTCAAACAAACATCAAATTACGTCAACTAGTTAATTGTCATTATACACTAACAGGAAATGTGCACTCAGTGGTCAGTTATTCCTCCATCCTGTTTTTATTATAGATCTTTCATGATTATGAAATTGTCTAGTTTAAGGCCCTTCGGCTCAAACCAAGATGAGGGCGCAAAAAACATTCAGTACCAGCTGCTAATTAACCCCATCACAGCTGATTTAAAGAAAAACTTTTCTCCTCCATTTTATTTTAGAAGGATGCAGCCTCCTCCAGCACCATAACCAGGCCTATCACTCCTGTTCTACCTGTGAGTGAAGGAGCTACTGTCACAGGGACCGGGGTCTCCATTCTTCCAGCCTGCACCCCCCAGACGGCCCCCTCCACCCCGGGGGCGGCGCAGCTTCCAGCAGGCAGCCAGGCTGTCCTGATGGAGCTGATGGAGCTGGCTGAAGACGGCGTGACCCTCACTCAGTATGGTCGCAACGCCCCAGGTAAACACACTGATGTTGGGGAAATACACACCTATCTAATGGTGACTGACACTTGCTCTGGTTAAACCTGACATTTTAACAAAAAGTTGGAGAGTCTTATAAAATATTTGCTTTACAATTATTTAAGCATGCGCATTAACTGCTTGCCCAAAGGCTTGTGTTTGTTTGCAAACTAAAGCCTCACATCAGCACAGTTAGTAAGGGGTTCCAACCGAAAGTCTGTTTCTTACAAGCTAAACATTTATTTGTTATATAAAGTACATAAAGTGTCCATTATTGTGTGTCCATATTTAGAATTATATCTGAATAAATACGTTCTCTTTACTTTCTATCTCCAAAAGCATTTTCTTAGCCATACCTGTCCCAAGAAGATTACATTCCTCAGTATCTTTTAAAAGCAGAATAACACAGCTTTTATAACATTTCGATGAAAATGTATTTTATGTTATAGTTAAGAAATCTGCATTGTTTTGATGAAATGAAATACAAAATGATTAGATATTTTATATAAGTAATGTTTTTGATAAATACCTGTTTTATGAATTTTAAGTTTGTCTGTGATAACATTTGGGAGACACTCCCCCACACACTGTATTAAGTAGTGATTTAACGGGTCCTGATGTGTCCTCCTTCCCCCAGATAAGAGTGGCAGTCAGATCACGACCCTCCGTCTGAGCGGCTTCGTCCTGGAGGAGCCTGAGGAGCCGGCTGACCTCGGTGTGAGCAGCTTCCTGCCAGAAACTGCACACACACATCCAGACGCTCACATCCGAGCGAGGAGGAGAACAGATCCTCCAGGGGGCGATCAGGAGCGCCAAACAGTAAGACTGCTCGTAATCACACTTCATCTGACATTTGAAATGGATCCTGAGTTCACAATTTTCGTTTGTTTTACTGGCCTTATCTTGTCAGATGCATATGTGAACTACAAGAAATTATTTTCTTTAGTAAAGGTAAGATTCTTTCCAATTTAGTGTTTCATAAGCAACTACTAGATATGTTTTAGAGTCCCCTTTTATCTTACTTCTTCTTTATCTTATTTCACTTTAAGAAATGCGAAATACTTGATTCAAAATCTACTTTTCTCATATTGCAGATTAAAAAAAAACTTTTTACCAATTTATTTCTTTACGAAACATACGTAAACGTGCACTGAATGTACAACAAAAGAAAAGAAAAAACAACGGTGGGCATTATACTCCAAGACAGATGAGTCAGAAGTGTTGGTAACATCTGCAGAGGAATTCAAATATATTGTTTTGGGGAAATCTACACCAACACTCAGGTAAAACGAATGCGGAGTGGAATAAGAATGCAGACACGCTGCATTCGGCATCCAATAGAACATTGTTTAATAACTGTAAAGTTGGGAGAGTTAATTTAAGATTTCTAAGCCCCTGAAATGTAACTCTGTCTTTCTTAGAAGCATTTCTCTTCATTAGTGTCCTGTAAGTCTGTTGTGTGACAAAGACATGTTCTACATATGAATCATGCAGTATTGTATGCCTACTGGGCCTTCACATATTATTGTCTAACGCACTGACTTCTCTGTGTCCTCTGGTGTTCCCCTGAAGGCAGCACAGAGCAGACTGACCTCAGATCTGAGCAGCATGGTGAACAACCCTCAGCTCAGCGACCTGCAGCTGCAGGTGGACAGTGGAGACGTCTTCTTCGCTCATTCCTTCATGGTGTACGCTCGATGCCCCCTGCTGGCTGAAATGGTAACTTCCATCACTGCGTGTTGCACAACACAGCGCTGATAATACCAGAACCAGGACTGCATGATTTTTTTATTATAGGCTTTTAAATTAAACATGTTGTATAACTTGAGCCATTTCACCTCCTCATTCTGCCAAGCAGAGGTTCAATACTGGATATGTTCACCCAGTGTTTCCCACAGAATTTGATTCTATTTGTGGGCGCACCGCACCGCACCCCCCCCGGCAAGAAAAGCCAAAGGCCCCTTAACCAATTCGGGTTATCAAATAAGATAATACATGCGAGTTCATGGCTACTGTAGACAATGTTCTTGTTGCTCTGTGTTGCGTTGTTAATGAGTGAAACACACCGGAGTTGAGGATCTGTGGGGTTTACTCTCCCAAAAATATAATTTACAATTTAGGCCTTTAGCAGACGCCTTATTCCAAAGCGACTTACAATGACCAATTACAGGGACATTCTCCCTGGAGTAACAGAGGGCTAAGTGCCTTACTCAAGGGCACACTAGTAGTGGTGTTCCAGGCAAGATTTTAACTCGCAACCTTCCGATCATCAGCCCACCTCACTATCCATTAGACCACAAAAAAAAGAATTTAAAAAAAAAAGAAAATAATAATTTTTATTTTGTTTATGAGATCCATTTGTGGCGGACGATCTTTAATTGTGGTGGCCCGCCACAAATAAATCAATGTATGGGAAACACTGTCACCTATTGGTCTAACACTTTGTTTTTAAAGAGGTGGGTTTCTGTGTGAGTATTTTGTAATGAAAATAATCTGTGTTTTTAATTTTTATTAGAGCTTTGTCCAAACAGATGCATAACAATTTGTGATAGACAGGAAACATTTTTTATTTTTGTATTAGGAATGGCTGTACCATGTCATTTTGTTTCACGTTTGCAGAAAACTGGAGAGCAAACCGGTTTTTTCAGCAGTTAAATAGCGAGAGATGGATTTGAGCGTTTTGTTGATGTGTTGTACATTTTGGAAATCATGATTTATGTTTTAAATTCGTTTTGGGCTTTACAACGCAGTTATTTAGACATTTTCCTATTGCACAAGTAAAGCAAATTCACACGCAGTTCATGAAATGTAATTTGACAAATTCAATAGTAGTAATAATATTAGTGGGGTTGCCTAATCTTTATATTCAGATTGCAAAAACATAGACATGCAATATTAAAAACTGCAAATCATTCAAGCTTCAAACTTTTTGCAGCCGTATCAGTTAGTGAGCACATGTTTCATAAGGTCTACAATGTAACCTCTCCTCTCCTCCTCCCTCTGCTCCTCTCTCAGGTACATGAAAGTGGTTTTGGGGTACAGGAGGAGGGGTCTCCTGCAGCTCAGAGGGTTCTGGTGAACGACGTCCCGGGACAGGCCGTGTTAGCTCTGCTGCAGTACCTCTACACCGCCCGCTCCTCCATCCCACCGGCCCTTCAGCCTTATGTCCTGGAGCTAGCATCCAGGTTAGTTTTCAGTATACAAGCCAGGACATTAAACACATCTTTGACTCACAATTCAAAACAATTTGGGTCTGATTAGTTGCTGTCTGACTTTAATGCACATATTCACAGTCAAACATGTCATTTCATTTGAAGTTCATATGCTCTCACAACATTTCTAGAAAGCCATTGTTACCAAGATAAGATAAGATAGGACTTTATTCATCCCGAAGGAAATTGTTGTGCCAGAGTTACAAAGATACAATAAACACAGCAGCATAATAATACAACTGTACACTAACAGTGCATTAAAAAGAGAAATTCAATAACTACAAATTCATGGCTAAATGTATTTACTATAATACGTCTGTGTTGTTATGAGGTTGATCTTAACATAAGTGAAGTGATGTGTTTCCTTGACAAAAAAACATTCATTTCTCACATAAGTAAGACTTTATAATCTGAGAATATTCCAGACTTTTTCTTGTAAATATACGACTGTAATCTTTGAAACTTGTGTTTTGCCTCAGAATATTACCCCTCCCCCAACCTTAATTACTATTTAGTTATGAGATGTTTTTATCATCTATTTAAAGTTTCTAAACAAATCTAAATTGGTTTTCTGTGAGAAATATATTAAATAAAGTGTTGTGACGACCCTTTTGTGTTTGCTCAGGTTTGACCTGCAGGAGCTCCAGCAGTTATGTGAGCCGGAGGGCTTCCTGAACCAGGAGGAGGACGCTAACAATCAGATGCAGCAGACCCTCAGCGAGCTGCTGAGCTCCATGTGGGACGAAGAGGAGGACGAGGGCGGGGACACAGACGGAGGAAGGGAGGAAGAGCGAGAACTGGAAGACGATCATCAAGCTGAGGACCTCGCATCGGGTGACAGAGAAGAGGAGAAGGTGAACGAGGAAGAGCTGGAGGAGATCTATGAGTTTGCAGCAACGCAGAGAAAAAGGGAGGAGGAAGACAGCATAGAGGAGGAGGAAGAGGAGAAGGTAGAAGAGGAAGAAGGTGGAGATGATGTTTTCGCCGAACTGACAGAACCTGAAAAAAGCTCAGCGGGCTTCAACGAAAAAGAGCATTTGCAACCGGACCCCAGCCTGGAGCGCAGCTACAGCCGCCTCTTCTCCGACTCCTGGGGGGTCTACGAAGAAGACCCTCCCTCCGTACCCTCCACATCCGGCCTCGCTAGAACACAATCCCCTCAAGCCCCTCATATACCCTCTCTTCACCCGTCCGGAAGAACTTTGCTCCAGTCTTCAGCGAGTGGAGTGGAGGACCTCTCCCCCAGCCCCCCACCCAGCACCTCCACCCTGCCCATCCCGGGTCTGTCTCCTGGGCTCGGGGGGGGCGGAGAAGAGGGGCAAACTTTGAATCGAGAAAGCCAAGGTCGGCGTAGTATTCCCGTTCCCCACTCCCTAGTTTCACCTCAGAAAAATGAGCCTGAGTTAATAATTTTGTCCGACTCGAGCGAGGACATGGAGGTCGTTCTTATTTCCCGCAGTCCTTCCCCACCTTCCCCTTACCCCGTCCAGACTCACACCACCTACACCCAGATTAAACCCAATGACCCCACCCTGGAGAATAAACAGAGTTGCAGTTTAGAGTTGAGTCCGGATGGAGAGCCGGGTCAGAGTCCTTCAGATCTGTTTGGCTGTTCTCCAGAAGTTTCCTGGCTGATCCCCTCCACGCCTCTCCAGACAAAGAGGGTCTCCACCAGCAGCTCCACGCAGACTCAAAGCAGCATGTGCAGGATGCAGCTGTTCCCTAAAGCAGACCCTTCCTCCCTCTCATCCTTCTCTCCCCCTGCTTTACCTTCTAACGACAGACCGCACACCTCCAACAGTCCAACCAGAGCTTCATCTCGCGTTAGCCCGACGGAGGCTAACGCGTTAAAACTGGACTTCAGTTCTAGAAGAAGAAGCTCTTCTGATGCGAGTAAAGACAGAGGAGTGTTTGCAGTTCCCCTGTCCCAACCTAAGCTCTCCATCTCCTCAAAGCAGGGTACCCCCGTCCACCTCCAGACCTCCAGCCGGCCTTACAGCAGCACTCCCCTGCACACGGAGCTCCACAAAGCCCCCGCCCTCCTGACCACCTCCCCGCTCCACAGCAGCTTCAATATGAGCTGGACGAGTCAGGGAAAGGACAGGGCGCCATGTGAGAGCCAGGAGAAGACGGAGCTTGGGAGCTTTCATCTCTCGCCGCTGTCGGACCCTTCAGATCCACCCTCGTCTTCCTCTCTCAGAGGCCGTCAGAGACACAGCGAGTCCTCGAGTCACAGCCGGCGCTCTGTTGACAGTCACAGCAAAGCAGGGTCTGAGCTGGAGAGGAGGGGGATGAGACTGGAGGAGGGACAAGGAGAGACGGAGTGCGGAAATAGAGTCGATGAAGCAGAAACTGGAGAGGCAGAAGTCGCTGAGTCCAGCTTCAGGCAGAGCTTCATGGACGAGCCCCCCATGGCGTTCAACGACTCGTGGGGTCTGGGCGCCTGCGGGGACGAGGACCCCGGCTGCTTCAGTCTGAGGCTGGAGGACAGCGGGGCATCCAAAAGCCTGGGAAAAGACCCTCCGTCCTCCACCGAGCGGCAGCCTCCCCCCCCCAGCCTCAGGCCCGCCCCCTCTTCATCCAAATCCACTGCTCATAAAGACGTCTCCTTCACGCCTTCACCCCCTGATCCCCCCACCCACAACACACCAGAGATCGTGAACAGCCTCCTGGACTCTAAAATATGGGACAGCTGGGAGGAGGAAGAGGGGGAGGAGGCTCTTCCTCTCTGTCAGAGGCTGAACCCCCCTGCCCAGCTCAAAACACCAAGTGAGTGATTTCTCTCTCCCAACAGGACTGCTGATGTTTTGTGATTTTTATTTTTCTGAGCACATGACAAGCAGAAAAATGTATCTATTGCCACTTTAACTGGCTACATCTCTGATAACCCAGTTTCTCCATAGTTTTGTCAGTTTTCTCTTCCTAAAGTCACCATCTTTAAATGTGTGGTTTTGTCTGATCGACAATCCAACATGACTGGATGATAAATGTTTACAAAATTAGCTCATTTAATTTTCTCTCTACACTAAAAACTGAAACATTGACTTTAATTAAATATCAAGTTTAAATAAAAAAAACATTAGAATCAACTTAATAGTATTGCTTTCAACTAACCCAATACATTTAAGTGGAAGTTGTTGACATAATTCATTTAATTAAAGTCATTGTTTCAGTTTTCAGAGTACTGTTAATCAGGTTATCAGGAGAGCTCGAATGAAATGCTTAGGTTAGCTGTTAAAGGTGGGGTAGGTCATTTTGGAGAAACCAGCTTGAGTGCGCTAGAATTTGAAAATACACAGCCGGAAAAAATCTGCCACTTCCTTACAGAGCCCCTCCTCCAACACACACGAACGCACACATGACCAATGAGGACACGAGATAAGTTTGTGCACAGATGGAAGGCTGACAGGCAGGTAGGCCATCCAGTTATTTTAGCCGGGCCGGCTCAGATGATTGGTCGTGCTTTTTACAGCGCTACGGCTTCCAGAGATGACATTTTTTATGGATTTTTTGTCAAAGCACTTAAGATATTCATTGCTATCGGGATGTTAAGAGCATTCCATGGAATATAACAAAAAGTGTATCTCGAGCCGGTTTCTCAAACTTACCTACCCCACCTTTAAATGAACACACCAAACATGATCGGTGTTTAGCTACTACTAGTGGAGTGTTTTATTTTATTCCCATGAATGATTGACCAAACGACAACAATATTTGTTGAGCATTATAACATTTTTGATGACAAAAACCTTTGTGATTTGCATTTAAAGTCAGACAATTCCTTCACACACACAATCAACCTAAATACTTCCAGTATTAATACATGCTGCAGTAGGAAAGGGATGTGTACAGTTCACCGTTTTTCTCGATTGCTAACACACTAAAATTCTACATAAAGCACAATTATTTTAACAACACTCAAAGAGCAAAACATCGGCTCAAATCTCTAAACACGTTTTTAGCTTTTCACACAATTTGCAAATCAACATGGCACTTTGTGCAAACCACTGCACACGTTTCTCCACGTAAGACACAGGAATCTGATATAAAGTCACATGTTAGCAGGTTTAAAACACTGATATTCAAAATGCCTCACACATGGACCAATGATCAAGAAACACGTTCCACCTGACCAAACACCTGGTAGCATAATTGTTGGCTCATCAATCAGGATGTTAGCACTATAAAAAGACCACAGGTGAGTACTTTCTTACAGCAACAATGGAAGCCAACATGGAAGCAAGAGGAAGAGGAAGAGGAGAGGAAGAGGAGAGGAGGAGGAAGAGTACTCTCTAATGAAATGAAATGTTATCAACCATGGTGTGACGATGAGAGAGGCTGGACAGAGGGTTCAGCCTAATCTAAGCCGATGTACTGTTGCCTCTGTAATCCAGACACTTAGACTTGAAAACAGGTTAGTTACCAGTTTGTAGCTCTGCATAACTCATGATATATCAGTGCTTATATCTGTTGTGTGAAACGTATTTACTTCATTACTGTAATTGAATTGTTGGCATGTTGCATACTATAACTGCACACACATCCTGCACATTGTACTGTGGTAAACTTACTTTAATGCAACACAGACACTGACCAGCCACTATGTCTTTGTTGTTTATCTGAAGGACTGAGAAACAAAGAGGTGGAAGGCCAAGGATTTCAATGAGGCAGGAAGCAGCAGTTACATAGTAGCTATGTGCTGAGATGCATGTGGCACAATGTTATTTTTGAATCAAATGTGATTTCTTTCAACAACTCATTTGTATTTCTTCCTTTACTGTATTTATGTATAAGCAAGCAATCTTTCTCTGCAGAACCCTCTACATACAGAGCATAGCCCATAACAGATTAACATGCTTTAGATTATGCTCAGCAGTGTGTAGTTGGGTGGTCAAACAATTAAGTGTTATATTTGGTGCTAAAGTTTGCATTTGGTAAGTGTTTATGTAGTTTTGAGTGCAGTTCTTCACTTAGCAGGAGAAATGAGGTGTTTTGCACTTTGGGTGTGTGGCTTTGTGAATTGTGTTTAGTGTTCTGAGAAACTGAGCAATTTAAAAAAAAAATGTGTGTTAGCAATCGAGAAACTGTAATCAAACAAAACAACCAATATCCCCTGAACATTATGTACATAGTGTGGGAGAGGGCATGTGTTTGTTTTTTTTCAGGGAAATTCAGTTCTGGATTTAACTAAAGCAGTATCTAACTTTGAACATTTGATTTAGCTGCATTCAGTTGTCTTTAACGTATGCAATTCTGATGCCAAATTGACACTGCAATGTCCAACAATCTCTTCCTGTTTGTGTCTCATCAGTACCATCGTGTAATAAAAGGCGCCGCACCCTGGTACCCATCACCCCCCTGCCCCACTACTCAGACATGGACACCCCGGAGCTGAAGACCAAACTCAACAGGTGAGGTTTACTGTCAGCCCTGACGCTAAAGAAGGGGTGAATTAGGGGTCAAATTAGTTTTTCTCTAATAAAGGCTATTAAGGTAGGTGCCCATCCTCTTACCTCCCACAGTGTGACTGCCAGATTAGTCTGTCTGGCTGTCTCCAGCCATCTGTCTGATTCTTACTTTCTCCTCTGCGCAGGTTTGGTGTTCGGCCTCTACCAAAGCGCCAGATGATCCTCAAATTGAAGGAGATCCACCAGTACACGCACCAGCTGGTCAGCTCCGAGGAGGAGGAGGAGGCGGGCCCTTCGGCTCAGACGAAGCCCCCTCCCGCCTCTTCAGCCTCCTGCAGCCAGCGAGTGCAATTCAAAGAGCCCCAAGCGCCCGCTGCTGTCTCCCCTGTGAAAGCCGGCAGAGAGGAGGCGGAGCTTCTGTCAGCCTCCCAGGGCTCCAACACCTCCTCCACCGCCGCCAGCGAGGAGTCCGAGAGGTACAAGGTCTCCTCCAGTGTGTGGATCAACTCAGGTGGTTCATATGTTCAGATGGCTCAAGCAATACTTTGTAAACTCATACTCAATATGACACCATCCCTAGACGTCCCAGCACACAACTGCACACTAAGAATACAAAATATGGACTTCTTTCAAATGCATCGATAGATGTAAATATTTAAAATAAATAATAGCTGCTTTATTAGCATATTTATTCAAGTTATTTAGTCAACTTAGTTGTTAGAGAAAATTATAAATACTTCCTAGTATCACCTTCCTAAATGAGTTTTTTTGCTTTTCTAGATAAAATACAGTATGTAATTGAATGTTCAAGTTCTTTGGGTTTCGGACTGTGGATCAAACAAGCACCCCTTATGCCATCATGTATGTCCATTTTTTAAATAATTGTACGTAGGCTATTCATTTACACTTTTATTGTCTTAGTTGAAAGAACAACACAAGATACATGTATTAGAAAGATTCTAGGCGTTATGTATTGGTTAGATTAGGACATAATCTATGAAATTGTGGATTCTAAAAGTTAATTTAGTTATTTATTAAGCTGCCAAAAAATACAAATTTAAGCATCATTTTATGTTTTTTTCTCACTCATCAAACTGACACTTTGAAAATCACTGGTGTATGTCACTCATTGATTTGAATGATTTATTTAGAAAAATAATGGTTTCAAAACTAGTATTCATTCATGTTTATAAAATATTGTCTATTTGGGAACAAGCTTGTATTTGTCTCTTCTGAGCAAGTGTTTCTAGTGGACACAGCTTTGGAAATAAGGGTGACATGCTGTTGTATTGTCACCTTAATATGGTACTAGCAGCTTTGAAAAACATTAATACAGTACTTGCATCTCCCCTTTCTCTCTCTCTCTCTCCGCAGGTCCAACTCTGAGCTGTGCCTCTCCTCAGACTCTGACAGTGACGGCGGCCTCTCTGCCTCCCAGTCAGTGAACCGTCTTCAGGATCGCCTCCAGGCGGTGCGCTCCTTCATCCTCTCAGACTCAACCCTCTACAGTCAGATCCTCCAGTACCAACCTCTGGTCTTGTCGCAGCTGAAGGAGCGTCTGAAAGCAGCAGGGATCCGCCTCGCTGCCGCCAAGCTGGTGGACTACCTGGACTCTCAGTGCATCACCTTCACCACGGCCAAGCCGGGACCCCGCGCAGCCAGCCGCTGCCGGGGCAAGAAAACTGGCACCGGGGCAAAGGCAGCAGGCAGGAAGAAAGCTGTTGCAGCCAACATTTGAAAATGTATGACTGCAAAGATACTTTGCAGGTGGCTGGTGTTATTTAAGTGCTTTGAACATTTGTCTGAAAATAACTTGCAGAAGAGGCCATGTTTGTTATGTGAAAGGTGCCTTTTCTTAAGAATGGCCTTTTGCTTTTACCATGTTTTTTCAAACCATTTAAAGACGGCAATGTTCCTTTACGGAAGTAATTATTATTTAAGTATTTTTTTGTTATAAAAGAAAATGTTAATGTTGCTGTGGGCTATTTTACAATAGATTTAACACATGCGATAGTATTGAAAAATGACCACAATAGTCATGCATTGAAAAACCTTCAGTAAAATGTGCCCCGATTTACAATAAATTAAGTCACACAAAACATTTTTCTTTAAAAACATTTTACTTGTTTTGGTCTTCAGTAGATTTCTACCCAAAGATCAGCCTAGACGTACAAACAGCCCAGAACACTTGGTTCACAACTTCTATCAGGTACTTTGTTCATACCAGCGCAACCTCGTGTCAGCGCTGTCAGAGTTCAGTCATCTCGCTGTCGTTGCACCAGCGGGGGGGGACACAGTTTGTGTTGTGCACCCAGTTATCTCTACAGCAGTGTGAAGCACAGGGCATCAAATCAAATTACGCACAACCCAACGCAGGGCCTGGAGAGTCACTCGCCTCCTCTGCGGTCTTGTGATGCCCTTTATAAGGGAGCATCGACGCGGTGCTTCATGTCCCGCCACAAAGCCTCACTCAGTCAAGACAGATTGGCAATGTTGGCAAGGAAGCGCTGAGCCCACCACTCCTCCAGGTCTATGGGCACAAAGTCTGCAAAGAAGCAAAAACGGGAGAAAAAGAATGATTCGTGATCTATGATTGATTGATTCATTACTTAACACTGGAGCACAACAGGGCTGCATGTTGAGCCCCCTGTTTTTATTTCACACAAATCAAGGGTTGAACTGAGCAACCACGCATAGTAGTTTATTATTATTTTACTGAGTAACTGATGAAGTTACCCGAGACAAACAGATTGGACATTTATAAATGTTTAAACCAGGGTCTGCGGCCATGCTAGCTGCTCTGTGAGGCTGCACTTTGAGCTAGCATTGCGATGTATAATATTCATATATTTACCAAACTAACATGAGTTAATTAGCACAAAAAACTAAGTACAGCTGAGCCTGATGGAAATGTAGTTGCAGGTATGTAATCATAAACCAAATAATTGTTAAATTCATATTTCATTTATTACAATTCTAGGGAGAACATGAATGCCTTTACTAATGTGACACCATCCACTATTAGTTGAAACACTTCACCACAATTTTCAACCTCATGTTGGTGCTAGAGGTAGACTTAATCAAATAAATGTAATAGAAAATGCTCTTTAATGAATCTGTCACAGTCTTTGTGGGCAGTGATTAGCTGGTGAACCAGAGCAGACAGGTGTGAGAGGCAACACCAGACACACTACTATCAGCAGTCAGGGCTGCTTATCTGGTTCTCACCGACCGAAGAAGAGTTAAATATTAAAGGAGAGTATTACAAAAGCTAAGCCTATGGTTACAGATAAAACTGAGTGGAAAAAAACAAAACGGGAATAATAAAAACACGGCAAGATTATGGCTCAAAGTTCAGAGGGGTTACAAAGCAGGAAGAAGGTTATCTGTACAGTTGCAGTAAAACTGAGTACATTTAATGAGGGCAGATTTACTTTGTTGAATTTTTTTGGATAATTGTAGCAGGTGAATGAATGGGAATGGTGTGATCCATGTGAACAAGTGGAGATGCAGGTACTCACTCTTCATCGCAACACTGGGGGTCTTCTCAGTATACTGAATGGGCCCCTGGCTCTCAGTTGACTCCACACCGTCACCATCTCCCTTCTTCTGCTCCACCTCCTGCCATGCTGCAAGTAAAAAACAAACATATTTACTAAATTACCTCATTTGAATTGCTTCTTGTATGTACTTTTTCCTTTTTTTTCAGTTCTGGAAATGAATCAAAGCATCAGCTGACCTTGAGCTGTCCCCGCTTAAGATAATATAAATAGTTGTAAGAAAGCTAAACTGTTTAATGGTGTTTGTGTTTTTTGCTGTGACTGAAGGTTTTCCAGCTTCACCCCCCTGATAAGCCTCAAGGTTTTGGCTCTGTTCAAGGCTGAAGACCCTTCCACAAACTTCAAACAACACATTATCAACTTCCAGTAAAACTGTAAGATTGGATTTCACATACCACCAAACCAGTTGTATGTGTATATGGGATATTTTATGCAGACTTGTTTTGAATTGACATTTATTTGTATTGTTTTTTTTCTTTTTTGTGAACATGGTCAGCTGGAGTGAGACCCTTCTGGTTTTCTATCGTCCTACAGAAGAGGTTAATAGATGGGTGAGTGCACCGTTCACATCCATTCTGACCTGGACTAGAAAGCTTGCCAGAATGATGTGCATTTCAGCTTTTAACAACGAGGCTTGTCACTAAGGTCAAGGACCTGGTATAAATCTGTGTATGCAGACCCCGGGTGTTGAAGGTGGTGTCACCCTCATTCTCAATATCGGTGCACCGCAGGGATGCGTTCTGAGCCCCTTACTGTACTCCCATTACAAACAGGAGTATAGCCACTTGTACAACACATCTGGGTTTGTTTCTGGTCTCAGACTAAACTAGAAACTGGGTGCAGACCTCCACCAAGGCCAATACTGCATTCACATGCATAAAAGGACGCCACAAAGTTCTGTGCTGGCAGCGGTCCATGAGAACCTCAGATAACCTCTTCAGCTCTGCAAGACATTTATTTCCATCTTGTTGTGAAGTATAAACCTCAAGATATGGTACATTTGCACAGCTGGTATTTAAATCTTGGTAGATTTGAATGACTGATACTCTTTTGAAGCCACTACTTATAACTATTCAGGATTGTGATACTAAATAGATGGCTAGAAGTGATACTAGCCATCTCCTATTTTTCACACCATGTCTTATTGTCTAAATGCTCCTGTTTCAATAACATAATTTGTCTTAAGAAATTACATTCAAATCAATATTAAAACAGTAGCTGATTAATTTTCTGTTGATCAGTTAGGTCAGTGGTTCTCAAAGTGGGGTCCGCGACCCCCCGGGGGTCCGTGGCACTCTGCCAGGGGGTCCGTGAAAAGTTTTCAGATTCATTAATTTAAATTATCATATCATTTCTTTCATTTTTTATTTTTTTAATCTAAAATATTTCATAGATTACGTTCAAATCTAACAAATAGATACATTTAAAATCAAGCGCGTTACCGTGGAAACAACAATAACTGTTACGTCAGTCAAAGAGCGCCGCTGCAAGCATCATAGATATATAACATGGCTAGCATACTACGAAGATGGACAGATTTTTAAAACGACCGGTTACGGCTACAAATGAAGTAAATGAAAAACAGACAGGTCCACAGAAAACTACCGGTATGCTTAGTCCTAACTTACTTTAGTTACTGTACTGCAAAAAGCAGACGGCGCTGCGCTCAACACACAGACAGACTCAAAACCATGGACACACTGGCACATAAGTTACATAAACAATTTCTAGGCCTAAATTGCATAAGCTACAGTATTGCAACTAAGCCTCTCTCTCTCTCTGTCTGTCTGTCTGTCTGTCTGTGTGTGTGTGTGTGTGTGAACAAATTGTAATTTAAAACACATTTCCTACATGTCTACACCACCTTGCCCTCTTTGGATTTAATCAAGAAACATTAACCCTGTATAATGTTAACCAAAACTGTAAAATTATGTTATATTACTAAAAACGTATTATTGGGAATCGCGAGAAGTTTCAGAGCGACAGAGACACAGAGCGTCCCCGTAACCATGGTAACTCACTCTCACTCCTGCCTGGTGCGCATGGCGCGAGAGGAGAGGGAGAGACGCAGAAGTGAGACTGATTACTTTGAGCAACATGCATGGGAATAAGTTACAATATAATACATTTGTGTATATTTCTCGCTATTCAGATGGTCATCGTGCTGCTGTTGCGCAATGTGCAGAAGTGTCTTCTTTTCGCACCATGACATTATCAGTTATGAATTTGTTTTTCACTGCTTGAGAAAACGGACTTGTGGCTGAGAGCGTGTGAAAAATGTCAATTGTGTGAGAGTTGGCAGCCCTGTGAACTCGCTTGACATTATTATGTATGAAACTGCCAATCAGATTTATTTACTTATTAATCGAAGGTGCCGGAACGCTGTTCTGGATCGTTCCGGCCCACTTTAACCCCTGTGTGTGTGTGTGTGTGTGTGTGTGTGTGTGTGTGTGTGTGTGTGTGTGTGTGTGTGTGTGTGTGTGTGTGTGTGTGTGTGTGTGTGTGTGTGTGTGTGTGTGTGTGTGTGTGTGTTCTGAAATGCACTTCAAATTATCACTTTTCTCTTGATTTCCCTTTGATATTTTCTTTAGGTACAGTGTTACTTGCAGCTAATTGATTGATTGTTTTATGGGTATTCTGTGTTGAGATGGTGCAAATATTTTTAATACATATCCAATATCTTTCTAATACATTTCTCTTGTGTTGTTCTTTCACATAACTAAGACTATAGAAGTGTAAAAAATAGGCTACGTCAGATTATTCCAAGGGACATACAAGTCAAATCAAGTACATTTTTATTTATATAGCCCAAAATCACAAATCAGAATGAGGGGGTCCTTGGTGTATTCTCTATCTTGTAAGGGGTCCTTGGCTGAAAAACAATTGAGAACCTCTGAGTTAGGTGAATCGTTATTTCTATAACTTAAAGGTGGGGTAGGTAAGTTTGAGAAACCGGCTCGAGATACACTTTTTGTTATATTCCATGGAATGCTCTTAACATCACGATAGCAATGAATATCTTTGTGCTTTGACAAAAAATCCATTAAAAAATGTCATCTGTGGAAGCTGTAGTACTGTAAAAAGCAAGACCAATCATTTTAGCCGGCCCGGCTAAAATAACTGGATGGCCTACCTGCCTGTCAGCCTTCCATCTGTGCACAAACTTATCTCGTGCCCTCATTGGTCATGTGCGCGTTCGTGTGTATTGGAGGAGGGGCTCTGTAAGGAAGTGGCAGGTTTTTTCCGGTTGTGTATTTTCAAATTCTAGCGCACTCCAGCTGGTTTCTCCAAAATTACATTTTTTGTATTACTTTGTTTATAAATGGTTCGAATTGTGAACCCACAGCCACCAACAATCTTTCCCTCACAACATTGCAGCTGCCCAACCAGGAAGTTGTTGTTAAGAATTAATTAAAACAAAAACCAGATTCTCTACCTCTGACCTTGTAAGTTTGAGGGAAGGATCTCCCAATCTCTAACAGCTTCAGCCCTGGAGCTCTGACCTTGCTCTGTTACCCACATCCAATCATGTATTGATCTTGAGACCCTCACCTTCATGCACAAATCTGACGTTCTCTTCATGTGCAGGAGTGAATCCCTCTGCGGGGCAGGGGCTCTTCTGTGTGGCTGCACCGTGGTAGCGCTTCCCATTCAGACGATTGAACACGATCTTTGGGGGAGGAGAGCTGCAGAGATCACACGGAGATAATTAAAGAATGTCAGCTTGAGGATTGGGGCAGGCTGCATCACAAGAAAACACACAAAGAGTGCCATCTCACAGTGATGGGAACAAAAATGCTGGTTGCTAGTTTACACAAAACGTCATGATTTGTTTTGTGTAATTTGGTTATGCTTGTAGCCTTGGCTATTTCGCTTTTGGTGGAGTAGAGCATGGAGGTTACTTCTTGATATTGGAAATATGTATTTGATAACCCGAAATATATTTTCAATTTTCTCTGTCTTTAACAGCAGGAATTTCAGAGAATATGATTTACACACAGAAATACATTGCTTAAGGTTCACTTTTAAAGTGCTTCAAATTCCAAATGTTACTTTATTTATCTCAGACTGTCAATGAACAACTCTAATATGCAATAGCAAGATCACAAAAGTTTGTAACCAATGCAAAATATATTTTATTTATTTTCTCGTCAATTGAGGCATCATTTACCAATCAAATTTAGTTTCTCTGGAATGGATTTCAACCTCTGAAGCTTCATATTAACTTTGATGCAGATATAACTCTAAAGAAAAGCCTATACTTGTTGATCAACTGACTATTTAATGTTATTGCTTAAGCGCTTTATAAAACACTTTGCATATGCATTATATCACACTGAGAGGTTTTTCTAATATTGTGTGTACACCATGTTGGTATTTCTGAGCAGCACATGAAGGGAGCACAGTCTTGTTTACGAACCTACCTTGAACACACAAAATGTTTTGGGAAAGTGAAAAAAAACAAATATTTTGTAAGTTTACATACCTCTTAGGCTATGTGATAAATGTGCAAATCAAATAGGTCTGCCACAGTATTTGCACTTCTCAAGTTCACTGTGGTGAAGTTAGTTTCAGGTTGGATATTTTACAACGTGGTCTTCTAACTGAGTTCCAAAGACCGTCTGCAGTCAGAGGATGGTTAGCTGAATATCAACACACACAGGGACCATCAACAAATAAGCATTTGCACATACTTAGCAGGTAATATAACTTCACTGTAAAAGTAGGACACAACTTTGTATTATTATTATCTTTATGAAATCATTAAAGAAAATGTGTGGGTGAAAGTCTTGTTCTTTCATTGAAAATTCTCATTTATTTTGAATAACATCCATATCATGAGACCCAGTAACTTCAAATCAATGCAGCATTGCACATACTATGTACATATAACTAAGTATATATAGGCCTATAACTTTCCATATATAGAATTGATCTAAAATGTTTTCGTAAAATGAGATGTCACCATATATACATGCTCATATGACCATTATGTCAGAATCAGTGGCGGCTGGTGGAAAATATTTTTGGTGGGGCTGTTGATATAGTGAGTAAAAAAAATTTTTGGGGGAGAAATTACCCCTTAAATGAGGACTTCTGGTGATGTAATGGCGCGTTTCCAGTGCAGCGCGGAGCTCGCTTTAATGCTGCGTTCAGACCGGACGCGATGCGAATATTCGCTTCGCTCTAAACGCTCCTATCGCATCGCTCTAGTCGCTCGAGTTTCACCGCGGCTGCCAGCTGTGTTTATTCGCATCATTCAAACAAGACGCGCTTGCTCGGGAGCTACAACTACAACAAAATGAACATATTTTACGGTGATTAAATTGTAATACACGTTTCAAAATGATGCCGACGTAACAACATACTGATACCGGTTAGTAAAAACCATGAATTAATGCTTTGACAAGTCTGCAGATAGACGGCAGGCGAAAAACAACGGCCTATACAGACATAAATAAACCAGCGACTGTATTCTCCATGACACAGACAGTCTGTGATTTGTAGCCTACTTGTTTAACTTTTGTCTAGTTTCTGAACAGATCGGATCTGTCCTCGGCTGTTTGAAGAGCAAGCATGGGAAACAAAAGATAGCATTTACCTGTTTGCATCGTTTGCATCCAGCTAGCCTCGTTGATACGTTTTGTATTTTTCACGAGCTTGCTGTGATATATACAAATCGGGTTGGTCCGGTCCAAGGTCTTTAAGCATCAATTTATCTCCCAAACTTCTCCTTTGGAAAGGATTGGAGAGTAGCTCTTGCACGGAATTGGGTGCGGACCGAGGTCCGGCGACTCCACCTGCACACCATTCTCATCCAAATACTGCGTCACCTTGGTCACTCACGAGTCTAAAAAACAACTCACGTCAACGTACGTAAGCAACGTGGGCGCCAACGTGAGCGCCCTCGTGACCAAAATATTTGACAGCGCTGATTGGCTGAAATTATGTTTCGGCGGCACAGTTTACTATTGAGACTTTTGCAACGTGCTGGTTGCCGCTGTTTGTCTCGGGGGCTCCGCCCGGTAATGATAAACTAATGCCATGGGCAAGGCCAGGCAGGAAAACATGTGACTTATCAGTAACTTTAGACATCGTAACACCATTTTAAACGAGATTTTATTGTAGATTATACATTTTACTGATACCAATTGTATGATATTTACCTTGTTCATTAAAAATACAAATATAAAATATATATATTTTAAAAAATAATTTTTTTTAAATTAATATATTTTTATATATATATATTTGTGTATGTGGGAAGAGGTGGGGCGGCGCCCCTAGCGCCCCTATGGGCCGGCCGCCACTGGTCAGAATATAGTATGGAAAACTGCCGGGAAGGTCAAGTCCCATAATGTATGCACAAACGTTACCCAAGTGCCCATGTGTTACATGATCGCCCTGACAGCACACATGCTCACATGACGCCTGCCCCATGTAGCTCAACAGTCTGCATAAATAAGCTTAGTAAACACAACAGCACTGGAACAAGACTCAAAGCAGCTACTTACGTTGACGAGAGCCAAGACGTCGGCTTCAGCTTCAAGTCGCAACATTTGCTCTCGATTTGTTGTGTTGGACCTTAAATACAAAACCAGGGTTAAAAAGTGTCCATAGAACAATGTCAACAGTGGCATTGCCTACAAAACTTCCCTTTGCATTCTGATGTTACATTGCATCATGCCTTAGATAATATAGTACTAACCTGTCCGCCGCTGTGTAACAAGTTTGCTGGGACCTCTGGTGATTGTGTACATCATGTGAACGCCGAAATATCCTGCAGTGTCCGTGTTTAAACTCTGTCTGTCTTCTTACTTATCAGATGCGCACATGAAATATCAACTATGCAACTGGCAGTCCTCTGTCCGCTCCTCCTGACGCAGCCACGTTAAGGAGAAGGTTTTCGTAACGTGTCTTATTTTGTTCCCCAGGTCAGGTGCTCCAGAGTCGGCCTGAAGCCTGCACAAACCTCGCTTTGGCTTGTTACTCACTGTGTCTAGATAATACTGCACCTCCTAACCAGCAGGTGCTCAGCTGTAAGGAATCGACGTCTGCTGCTCCTGAGAGAGGTTGCGTGTAGGTCATCCAAGGAGAAAGCTGCTCCACAAGCCGGGGATCCGTCAGACAGAGGGGGGACCTTGTGCTTTCCGAAGCCCGGGGACAGTGACACTCAGGCCGGACTCTCTACCCACTGTGTTCCGCTGGTGATCCGGTACTGACTGCGAAACCCCTGCTCTGTGATAGAATACAAGGACAGTAGTGCACACTTTGATATTTTCATCAGGACGGAAAGCTACAATGCCTGGCCAGCGTCAAGTCAGGCAGAACAAAGCGCAGTACTTCCGGACAGGATTTTCAAAATAAAACCTTGTTTACAATTATCCTATGGTTGACTTGAGTTTGGTTACTAAATGCAAATCAGACCATCAAGCACCTTGCTGTTGTGAGTTTGAATATTCGTGTTTGAACCTTATTGTAAGTCACTTTGGATGAAATTGAAATGTAATGTCCAACATTTAGAGGACTTATATGTTTTGTATTCAAGCACATTGTGTTATTACATCACTCGGTTGCAATGTAATTATAAAACATTGTCAAAAAGAATAGGATAATCTATAGAGCCAACAGGAAGCAAGAACAGTTGCGATGTTTTTTTGAGTTAGTAAACTATATTATGTAATCCTTTTTGTTAAGAATTGTGTTTGTGTTGTATAGTGTTATTTTTTTAATTAAATTTATTTTGCTTGACTCAGTTTTTTTTTCTCATAAACTCTTAGTTTTGCTTGATTCTAAGAAAGTGTTGCTTTATCTTTATGAAACAAAACTAATCCCATAAACGCTCAGATTGATAGACGTGTCGAAGAAAAAGTCAAATAAAAGGCCTTTTTCTGCACACTCATTTAGCAATAACCAAGAGACTGCATAATGTACCATTTAACTCTTATTGTAAATATTGAATGCATGGTGTGACAAAGCTTTAAAAAATATTATATATAATATTTACTTAGTTACTTTTGTATCTTCAGTTTTAGACCCTCCACTGTAACATTCATATTAGGGCATATATTGCTGCATCCCTTTGTAGCTTCCCTGTACAATCTTTGATATATTAGATTTAAGATTTATCACTGTAAATCTCCGTCTTTTGGGTGAAAATCAGCCGAGTTACTCTACAATGTCCGAGACAAGAAGCGGCTCAGACAGGCTTATCCAGGGTGATATCCAACACAGCATATCCCCCCCACCCATCTGTACTATCTGGGCCATCACCTGAGACTTTAGAGGCTAATAATCAACAGTCCACACTTCACAGGCTTAACACTCACAGGCTCCAAACCATGGCCATTCTATTGTAAGATACACTTTATTTATCAGCTGTCACACTGCTGCTGACCATTTCTCCAGCATTCATAAGTATAAAAAGCTCAAAACATTGGTGTCAAAACTATTTTTCCGATCTTCTTAGACAATATGAGCACCCTTAACAATTTCCTACATACGTCTTGGCTGCAGAATGTCAGCTCACACAACTGAACTGTGTCACCCTGCTGCCCACTATGCATCAAATGAAATGAAATTGATGTATTTATTTTATTAACAGGGAAATAAGCCTTCCACATTTACTTTTTTAGGTTGTCAAGTCTGCTTAGACCAAATAAGACATAAATAAAATGCAAGTAAGGTTGATATTGGGGTCATAGAGCTTATCAACAGTAGTACTCTATCTGTCTTATCTACCAACTCCAGCGCAATGACGGGGCTCAAAACCTTACTCTAACTCCCCAGTTATAGTAGGGTCCAGAAGTGTGACACCATAAAAGCAATTTACATTTTTTTAATTGAAAGATTAATATAAGAACCTGAATAAAAGAACCACATAGCAAAGTCATGCAAAGTCACCATATGTTTACTCATCATATTTAGCTCTACATTTCCTTTGGTAAAAGACATGAAATGTTTATTGGTAAAAAGCACAGACAGTGTGTGATACTGCACTGTGGGACTTGAAATACAGAAGAACATACATCATTACCAATAAAACAATCATTGCAGTCCTGAGTTGGTGAATACAGTACATTTGGATGATTATAGACACCAAAATATCTATAAATGCATACCATGTCCCTTGTTATTACATTTAGCACCCTGTCTGGTTCGTTTGATCGCCTCAAACTAACATGCACACATTCACAATGTGACATGTGCATGAGAAGACAAGAGTGGCACTTGTTCTCTTACCTGGTGCCCCATTTTGGTTGACAATTAGAAAAATGAAATGGTCCGTACAGATCTGATCTTTTTAACCAGTGTGTGTGTGATCACATCCTGTGCTGGGTTCCTATGTTTCTCAGTAATGGGGGTCACAGTCCTCCACCAGGCTGTCTGTGATGTAGTTGACTTGCAGCAGCTCCTGGTAGTAGTCCTTCTCCACTTTAGTGTTGACTGTCCATGCTACCACTTCTACCCCCCTCTGGGCCCAGTACTGGACATATTCCCTGCAGACAGAAACTCAGTTATTAACAGTTACTCTTATTCTTTAGTGGTTGAATACCATGTGATCCAAAAAGGTGTCCATCTACTCACGGTGAGACTAAGTTCTTCTGTACGAGGAAGGCTGAGATGCCACAGAGCTTCCACAGCACGTGATGGTGCGCCCAGTCCAACATCACGTCCAATGCTGTCATCCAACTGTGTTTCCATGGCGACGAGAATCGGGAGGCACCGTCTCCCAACTGACTCAGGCTCCATGGCCGGTGGGTCAGTGCTGTGACCACTTCTGGGTCGCTCTGCCTCATCTGAGGTTAAGTGATAGTCAATGTAAGCCATATTTGTTTTTAAACAGTGATGTAATCAATGGCAGCAATCAAAGTAAATGTTGTAGTTTATTTAAATCAGTACCACATCACTATTGTGTTGTCTGTTTGGTAATCAATACTCGTCAGGCTATCACAGCTTGTATAGCTTGCATTGTTGGTGTTACAGAGATGGACAAACATTTCCCAACTTGGGATCAATATAGTTCTTCTTATCTTATCTTATGGAGAATCTGAGCTAAAGCATTAAGCAACATGACAAAATAAAAAAAGTGTATTTATATTGTTCCAGTTAAAATATGTTTCTAGAAATATGGTAACATGCAGACTCCTTTGTATCGGTGTCACCTGAAGTGCAAGTTTATTTTCACCCAGTGTTCAGGCTACATATTGAATCATAAAAAGCAGTGAAATGTAGCTTTAGATCAAAGTGCTTGAGAACTGCTCAAATGTTGTGTTTACACTGGAGGAATCTGACCAGAACAAACCATTATATTTGGTTGTGTTCGCAGCAACGTATGCATGCTTTGTACTATCTTATTCAAAAAAGTACAGTTGTTTATTGACAATCCCATTTTATTCCACAACTCTGATGTATTTCAGATGTAGTACACTATCTAGGAACACCCAGTTCAAACAATCTTCAAAGAGCCTCTTACCCTGTAGATGACTTTGGGCTCGAAGGAGCAGACAATGCTGCTGTTGTAGAGGACTGGGTGTTTTGTATACACTTCTTTCAGGGCTGCAGCTGCCTGGCAGATGGGGGGAAACACATGGTTATTGAAGGACAGTCCACTGTTTAGATGTTTGTGAAAGAGGCTTTTTAGAGCCGTGTGTGTGTTTTCCCGTGCAACAGTTTGGTGGTATCTAGCAGCTGTTTATGTGTAGCTGCACTGCAGCAGGCCCTGAACTCAAGAATGTCGCTGCCAGAAACAACAACTGTAGCCCTGTATTCATTATCCATCTAAAAATGTGCAGAGTAAGGGATTTACATTCATGCAATAGCAATTTAGCTTGAAGATATGCACAACTAAATGGTCCAAACTCTGAAGTTTAAATGGCATTAGGTATACAAATATAACTGCATGTGTCAGCAAGGAGTTGCAACATTGACTGTTGTCTCTGGCTCTGTTGTGATGATTGTGGACTATGGCTCAGTAAATGTTATCTTTGCTACAAAGTAACCCCTGTTCTCTTCATTATGCAATGCTTACTAGGTACAAATCAATTAAATCAATTAAAAGTATGACAGAGGGATTGCACATTCTAAAGTTAGTTTGGTTAACAGTACCTCATCTGGGTGACCTTTAACGTCAAAGTAGATGGTGAGCTGCAGTTTGATGCACTCCTCCACCGCCTCCTCCAGAGTCGGGATCTTCTCCCCAGCAAACGTGTCGCTGGGGACAGAGGACACACATGTTTTAGTGCAATCTCAGGCTGACGTGCTTATCATGCTTTTAAAACTAATTTACAGTTCACGTGGGAAACATTACACTATGAACCGACATTGCCTGGATCATAGTGAAATGCATGTGATAATAACCATGAATTGAACTGTACATAAAGACTCTTAGCATGTGTCTGAAAGTATACACAGGACTTTGCATGGGTAAGGCAGTGTAGTTCAGTAACCGCAAGGCCTCCTATGTTGATCCGTATTTACAGAACTTAGTGGCATTAGCAAACTTGTTGACACTTCAGTGGCCGATTGCCAACATTCATAAAGCTTGGACATGTTTTGCTTATCATCCTCATTATATGATCTTATCTTAGGACACTATATGAATCAGTAAACCTTGTGTGTCCTGTAACATTGTAATATCTACTATACAGTATGACCTATTAACATGCTCTAATGTTTTAAGACATACAAAAGCCTATTTTTGTGCTTTTTTATATATTTGTTCCTATCTTTGAGTGACTGTTTTGCATTTTACTTTCTCCTTTTGTTTGTTCAGAAGGGAGCTGTTTTTAGAAACCTGGTCTTTTTGTCTGACACACACCTCTATGTATAAATAACAACATGCCTCTCTTGTGTCTAAACTAATAAGAGCAATGATTGAATGTGTTACATGACTATTTAATATCTCCTTTAGTATTTACTTACAAATATTCAAGGCCTCCAATATCTATGCACATAGGGTATCACCATCAAACATCTCCACATGTATCTGTATAGCAATCAATTCAGCTTTGCTAACAACTGAGCCTGAACAATATATTCTGAATCAGGCCATGTTGCTGCAGAAAGTACAATTTAAACAAGCCCATTAGAAAAAAAGACGGTACTCTATGCAGGCTACAGCAGCATGCTGCAAGTAAGGGATAATGTGCAGCAACGCGGTCATTATGGGGAAAAGAACACCGACAGGCTGATCAGGAGCCCGACGCGAAGCGGAGGGATCTAGATCGGCATGAAGGTGTTCTTTTCCCCATAATGACCGCGTTGCTGCACATTATCCCGCTTATTACATGGCCACATTCTCAACAAAGTAACATTATGAATCCCAATATTAATTGAAATGCTTTTATGGATTTAGAAAATTATTTTATTGATTTAAAAAATAGTTGTATTGATTTAAATTGACATGCATCCGCTAAGAAAAATAGTCCGTTGTTACCGTTTGAACTAACGTAGCAACGGCAGGAACTGTTTCGATAGTGTTTTTGAGGAGCTTTTTGATTACAGATTTGAAAACATCGCTGCTTGCTTTAAAAGTAGCACAATTCATGAAGTCAAACCTTGGGAAGTATCTAGTACTTCTCCGCTGTTTTCTTGTCCCTCTTGTCTTTTTCTTTTCTTCACTGGGGACTCATCAGCTACTAACCATTACTCCAAATTACTGTGCTCTCCAAATATATTCAAATTAATGTTAAAATCCTCCATGTTGCTATCACACGACAGCGGAAAACTAAAGACAATCAGACAGTTTGCTTTTCAAACTGTTACATTTGAAAAACAGTTAGAGCGTCTCTTGTCAGTTTGAAAAGCCAACGGTAGGAACTGCTTGCGTTTTTGAGGAGCTTTTTGATTACAGATTTGAAAACATCGCTGCTTGCTTTAAAAGTAGCACAATTCATTATGTCAAACCTTGGAAAGTATCTAGATATCCCTGCCCTAATGCCAAAGTAACTGGCAACTGAATATGTGTCGCCGTTTGATGTCTATGTCTGGACCGCTGCGTAAAAAGGAGGGTTTCTGCCCCGTTACTTCTGCGCTGTTTTTCATGTCCCAGTTCGAACAACGGTATACAGTTAAATCGACCGGACTTCTTTCTGAAGATGTGAGCGTCCTTAACAACGGTCAATAAGTCCTTGACAGCGGTCTGTCTGTTCGGTATTAACAACGTGTCACGTGTTCTGAATTGACCAATCAGAATCGAGTATTCAACTAAGCCATGTAATAATCAAAGATAAGTCTCCAGAGACTAAAACTTAATGGAGCACATATATTTTAAAACTTTTACCCTTTAGCTAGCCCACAAAACCTGCACGACTTGTTCTCCTGCTGCCACACAGCCAGATTGTATTTTTCCCACCCCCAGGCTTTATAAACAAAGATAATAGATTTCATACAGTCTCTTATTTCATTGACATGCATGCTGTGAATCCTGGATCATCCTAAATCTAGTGTTCAAAAAGCAAAAAGTCCCCAAAGAATACAATGTGTAATGTCTGCACATCTGTTTGCTTGTATGCATCTTAAGCTACATCTTTCTTTTGTCACCTGAGTCTGTGTTTAGCAGCTGCGTCCAGATTACCCAGCTCTGACCGTCTCATCTGGCAGAGGGGTCCCGACCCGTTGGTGGTCCGGTCCACAGTCTCATCGTGCATCAGTATCGGGACGCCGTCGGCTGAGAACTCCAGGTCCAACTCCACACCTGTAGCCCCATTTTTACTGGCCTTAACAGGGACAGGTGAATGAGAGGGTTGGAAAACAAGTATTTCAGGAGGGTTTGCTTCTGGTTGTGGCCAGTTATCTGTCAAAAAATAAGAATTGATTCTAAATCCCAACCTTCACTGACTTCTGATCAGTACTGGTTTATGTTGGCCAGTATAACCAACAATAAACTCAAGCAATAAGCCATTATTTGAATACAATCGCCACTATGTAGTTGTCCACTCAAGAGCGTTTACAGATTTGTTTTTCAAATTCTGAATATCCTGATCAATGTACAGTTTTAAAACGTTCCTTTAGGGACATTAAAAGTAGGCTACAGTATTGGTTTGACCATGGAATATATGTGGTAAAGGTTCCAGTCACACTACAGTTCAATAAAGAGCATTGTCGATAATTTGAGGCTGTAGAGCTGAATGTTAACAATGCCATTTTACAGAACTATGGCAATATGTTACACTTTATTAAAATATCAAGAGGATATGACTAGATATGATCAGAACCCAGTGGTGGTTTGCCCCTGGTCACCATGGTAACACTCTGGGAGGCTGTGAGTGACACCATCCCTGGATATGTGAAGTAAAAAGCCCCAAACACTCTCCCACCCTACTCTCACCACTCGTATGGCGACTATCGTGTTCTCCGGAGCGTCGTGTCCTCCGCCCCGGTGAGCGACCACCGACACCCGGCCGGAGCCCACCGTGCCCCTGAGCGGGTGCAGCACCTGCCTGGCTCGGCTGCTCGGTACCTGGGGGAACCGGAACATGGCCACAAAGAGGTAGAGGGAGACAGTGAGGGCGGTGGTCCACACCGGGCTGCGGGTCCCCAGTAGGACCAGCACGAAGACCACCGAGTACAAGGTGACTTCATCTCCGAGCTGCAGCATGGTGTCCTCTATTCCTTCCCGACTGTCAAATAAGGGAAAGCGGGACCTGGTGTCAAATTGCTCCGCAGCCTGTCCGTTAAGCATTCCGCTACCCTCACTGCTAAATTGAGTGCTAACACCCTCTATGAGATGACGTCATGCTCCGCCTACCGAACTGCTAAAACCAGATACATACAATGCTTAGCAACAGATAAAGCCTTAAACTGCAGTAGTAACAGTGCACATGAAAACGGGAACTCACTGTTATGACTGTCTGCGGCGGATATGACAAATCTGCCTCACGTTACTAGTCTTTTCCGCAAGGCAAGTTTATTTATATAGCACTTTTCAACACAAGGCAATTCAAAGTGCTTTACAAAAAATGAAAGAGATTAAGAAAATGGCATTTAAAATCAGTCATTAAAAAGAAAAGCTAATAAAAGAAACATTAAAAGAAAAAATACATGGATAAAAGTTACAGTGCAGTCTAAGATATGAATAGTTCAATTAAAAGCAGCGACAAAAAGAAAAGTCTTCAGCCTGGATTTAAAAGTAGTCAGAGTTGCAGCGGACCTGCAGGTTTCTGGGAGTTTGTTCCAGATATTTGGAGCATAATAACTGAACGCTGCTTTACCATGTTTAGTTCTGACTCTGGGGACAGAAAGCTGACCAGTCCCTGAAGACCTGAGAGATCTGGATGGTTCATAATTTAGCAGGAGGTCAGAAATGTATTTTGGGCCTAAACCATTCAGTGCTTTATAAACCAGCAGCAGTATTTTGAAATCTATTCTTTGACACACAGGAAGCCAGTGTAAAGACTTCAGAACTGGAGTGATGTGATCCACTTTCTTAGTGTTAGTGAGGACTCGAGCAGCAGCGTTCTGAATTAGCTGCAGCTTCCTAATAGATTTTTTAGTGAGACCTGTGAAGACACCATTGCAGTAGTCGAGTCTACTGAAGATAAAAGCATGGACAAGTTTTTCCAAATCCTGCTGTGATTGCAAGCTGCATTACCTTTGCAGCTAAAAGTACTGAGTTAGGTTCAGGTGAGATTTAATTAAAAAAAAAAAGGAATTCAAAGTTTGTGATCATATACGACTTTCCCACAAGGGGGCGGACCGGGCACGTTTAAAAATAATCTTTGTTGAATACATCCGGGTCATGTTTTTTAACTAAGATGTATTTTTGTTATCTTTATTATTTGTAATTCAATAATGGGGAAAAACTGCTCTCAAGCCATGCATTTAAAATATAACAGTAAAAGTAGTTTTAACAACGTTGATTGTAGTTTTTATACGCATAACATCCGGGTCAGAGTGTGTAGGTCATGTAAGCTAACAGCTCTGAAAGTGTTGCCTTTGGTCTCTTACTTCCAACAAGAAGATTGGTGTTTCTTGGTTTTTCTTCTTCATGTCGTCAGTCATGGTGAGCCCCTTCTCTCTCTCTCTCACATTTTTACATTGATTTAATTGGAAATAGTGTAAAAATAAGTTGATTTAGTAGCAGCACAAGCTAATTGCTGCTTTGCCTTGAATGTACGACAGGTCAATCTGAAGTAATCTACTGTGTTCCACTCTGGTTAATCGATACTAACATAATAGTCTTTGCATATTGACATTATTACTGTTACCTCACTTCTAATTAAAACAAAGTTACATATGAATGATTGCTCGTGGTACCTTGCTCATACATTCAAACAACTGAAAGACTGAATTAGAATTGAGAAACCTGTTATAGCCCTCTTATTTATGTTTAATTGTTATTGAGACTTTTAAGCTTTTGTGTTTATTAGTGGTGCTGTATTGCATTACTTTGTATAACTTGGTGTAAAAGTTGTAATTAACAGTTTATTCTCTATCAATTTATATTCTGATTTTTCTTTTCCTTAATTGTTTGTTGTCTCAAAAATGTCTGACTGTTTCAAATTAAAGAGAAAATTAGAGATGTTTTGCACTTTCTGTAAAAATTATATTCTTATTCTATATTATTCTGAGTTTTTGCAGATACGTTTTCTTATCATTTATTTTGTCGGTTGTTTTTGCTCTTGCACAGTATCAACTGTCTGTTACTTTTCTACAGATCAGGCCAGTACTGCTGCACAGGGTAACCTCCCACATCCTGTCCTGCACCAGAGGATCATGTCTACTCACAGGTCGGATATCTTATGGTGTGCAGCCTCATTCAAGTCTCACCCCCATTCAGCAGAACTTCCATGCACCCCTGATGCCTAAAATCACAGCCCTGGCCAGGTACTCTGACCTGACAACAGAGAAGTACACTGTGATTTACAACATGCCGTACATAAGGTTCCTCAGAGCTATGTCCAGGCTCAAGCTGCTCCAAACCGCAGTCACCATGGTCCTCTTGCCACCGGTGTACTTCTTCTACCTCCATGGAGACGTCCCCTTCTTCCTCGTCGGCTACTCTACGGGGACAGCGCTGTTTGCTGGCGCCATGCTGTTCACCGCCAGTCACTTCTCCAGGAGTGTGGTGGGGAGGATGTACCTGGACCCCTCCCAGACCACCCTCAAAGTATCACACTTGACATTCTGGGGCCGGCGTAATGATATCTACCTGCCTGTGTCAGATGTTATGACAATTTCTGATACAGGTGACACCGTAAAAGAGAAGATATTGAAACTAAAGACATTCAGCACTCCACAGACATTGTATTTCTCCACTCATTTTGGACATGTGGTGGACAAACAGGGTTTTAAAAAGGTGTTTGGGATTTGATCATTCCATTTTTTGAAAATGGACAGGTTGAGACAGTACTAGTCAACAGGTAGTGCTCCTATTTGTTAAGCTTTTAAATATAACCTGTTTTGAGAAGGATCTGTTCTGCATTGAAATTACAATTTTATGGGGGAAGGCTGACATTGATCTGTAAGTCGTTGTTTATCTCAAGTCTCCACCATGAATAACAAGCCTCTTTAAATATTCAATGAAGCCTGTGATTGATGATTAAGGAAGCATATTTTGAGGGTTCAGCAGGACTGTGGCCTTCAGAATGAAAAAACTAACAAGTGTGATGGCAGTAATATGTTAATTTGGTCTTAATGGATCAAACAGAATGTGTGAAAATAAAACGTAAGTGTTTTTCTTCTAATGTTTTACACTGAAATATAAATATAAAGTATTTCAAGGTAGTTAATGAAGAGTAGATTATTTAAATACTCTAAGTGACTCAGGCATGCACGGTGACTCATCTACATTAAAAGTAGAATAGGGCATTTGTTAATACCATCACATAGAAGAAAACTATGCATACTTTAGTCACACTTTTTTCTCTGACTTTATAACTAAGACTTAAATTAAATATACCATTATGATCAATTTGTATACAAGGTGGTGAGCCCTTCAGAATATATGGTTCCTAGGGCTTTTGTAACCTTCAGTTTTCACAACCACAGCTATAATAGTCAATCTCAATGCTATCCTGCCCCCTGGTGGCCTGGAAAAGATACCTCAGCAGAACTGTTGAAGTTACTGCATCATTAGTACAATGTACACAGACTTGCCCCCCAAACCTCTGTAGAACAAAAATGTGCAATGTCACTTTTTTGTTATCGAAGTAATTCAAATGAGGATCTCTGAAGAAAGCTGTTATGAATTTTCGCCAGGTTAAGGTTTATTGGCTTTAACACAAGCTGAATGATATTAACCCATGGCCTCTTGTTGAGATTGAATCACTATTTATGGACTGCCCTTTATTTAAAATCAGAAACTGCAGCGGTACATCATCCTACTTTATTAAATACATCTGTAAACCCTGTATGCATATTTCCACTGAGTAAAGCATAACAAAAACAAATTGGCTAGTTAGATGTCAATGATGGGATGACGCAAATGTTTGCCCGCAAACAAATCATCAAAAATTGTTATTTTCCTGCTTAATTGTTTCCTACTTTAAGGCAGTATATGATTCAAAGCTCTTTGCTCAGAGTTGATGGCAGGGTAAAGTGTGTCAAAGCTCACAGAAGGTACCAGGCAGTGAAACCAGCGAGGAGAGCCACCCAGGCGGCCAGAGCCCACTGAAAGGGGGGGTGTGTGAGGAGCGTCATGGCTAACTGGCAGGCGTAGGTGGGATTTCCACTGGCAACTGTAGAGAGGAGGTGAGGGATGAAAAGAATGAAGGAATGAGGCCATACAAAGCAGGAGGACTCATCATTAACAAGTCATTTCATGGATTACCACCCATTTAGATATGCTACAATATGGGGGACTTTGATCAATTAAACATGCATCATTCAAGCTAATACTTAGGTTATAATACTTAACTATCACTAAATACAGAGGGATGAATCTGTGAAAAGGTTCTTTTTGACCCCATTGTTTTTAAGTGAGTTTTTTTCTCCAAAATAAAATTATAATTGTTGGCACCCGCACTCATACATCCTTTTGTGCTGGGACTTTTAAAAACATCTCAGTTAAAGGACCCTATTGCATACCATTAAATGTGCTGTCGTATAAATTACCTGAAGCTAATCAGATTATTATTTTAAAAAGCATAATGAAGTGATATTATATGGACTGTCTCACCCATTTTTGCTGCATAGTAGGGACACTTGTTGATATCACCCCCCTCCATGATCTCTGCATGACTGTGTCCTAACCCTGCATCTTGGACTTCTTCTTTGATAGTCTTCCCAATCTCTTCAAGCTCTGTAAATACCTGTTTCCAGAATAAAAGTTGGGATTTGTTAACTTTATCTTTCTCTTTCAAATAACATCTATTCTCATCAACTTTCTTAATGCATTTTGTTTCCGCTGCCCTCACCATCATGTTGAAGCTGAAGGCCCGGTTGGACTCTCCAACAATCCTTTCTTTGGTCTCAGCGTCCAGTTCGAGCTCGTTCATCCTGCTCCGGTAGAGCTGCTTGAAGCCTTTTTGACTGTGGATCCCCTCAAACTGGTAAAAGTTAAGACCCTCACCTGTGGAGGGGAGTTTCAGCGCTCTTTGGGCCACTTTCTTGAGGATCTGTCCGCCTGAGAGATCCCCCATGTAGCGGGTGTAGGAGTGGGCCACCAGCAGCACCGGGTCCCTCTGTCCCACCCCGTGGATACGGTCCACGTAAGGCTTGGTGCCAGCGGAGAGGCTGATCTGTGAGGGAGAACATGGACGTCATCGAAATTGCTGTCAATTCTATAGTGATGAGTAATTTCTGCAGCAGAAGTTTGTTTTAGTTTTAATCCATTTTATAATATTTTCAGGAAAGACATCTCTAAATGGGTGGAATAGAACTATGATCAAATTACAGAAAGCTGGAAAAATAATACACTGTGCTCTCTGCTGACCTGGCTCTCCCAGTCCTCTCCATAGAAGTACTCGAGGTCTCGGGCCAGGGCCTCGCGCCGGTGCAGCTCTGCAGGGAAATAGATCGGGGCGATGTGAGGATGGTCTTCATTCTTCTCAATCTCCTCCTCCATGGCTGCATAGACAAAGTACAGAGCTGCTGTGCCCCTCTGGCCACAGAAACAGTGAGAGAAAACATGGGATAAACAAAGGTAATATGGTACAAGTTGTTAATTGGTGCTTAGTGAAGAGACAATTTGTTAATTTCTTTGGAAATATAACAAAGACTGATAGGGAACTGTGACAAAGAGCAAAAGCAAAGGTTGGATTCAAGAGCTAAAAGTAAGATATTACTGATTCACTTTTGTATGCATGTATTGCTGTTTTGTTTAAATGTTGGTACTGGTGCCATTATTGTGCCTGTGTTAGTTTGTTAGTCTGACAGAAATTCTTCTATCATCATTGGAGGTCGAGCAACAACAATGTATGGACACCTTAAACAGCTCTCGTTTGATGCGGCCTCTGAGGAAATCTTTGACAAACTGGCAGTTCTCTGCTTTGTCGTGGGAGTCCTTGGTTCCCTCTGCTAACATCTCGGACAGGTCTGTGGGGCTTTGTGGAACAGAGAGGGAGAGAAAAGGGACTGACATGAGAACCTGCAGAATTTGACACACTTAAAGTGCACCTATCATGCTCTTTTTAGGCAATAGCATAGGTCTCAGATATATAAAAAACATGTCTATGAAGTGTTTTACTCAAAATACCAAACAGATCACCCATTCTAGCCATGCCTAATATCCCTCTATTTCACTTCCTGTTTCAAAAGTGCTGATTTGGGGTATAAAGCTTTAAAAAAAAAGAAAAATTGATTTAAAAAGTTCCTTTTTATTTCCTGCTTCTTCACACACATGCTCTGTGCAGTACAGGTTAGCTCTGAGTGTTAGCGATGCTAATGTAAACATGCACCGACCATATTACGTCCAAAACAGTCGGGCATTGTTTCTGATAGCAACGTTTCTGATAGGGCCGTGGGTGTAAAGCCCAAGCCCCCTGGAAGTGAGCCGGACTCTGAGGAAAATATTTGTTGTGGCCGAACGGCGGTACTACACTTCCGTATCAGTCGCTGGGCCCGGAAATACTTTTTCCCATTGACTAACATTGGGAAAGAGACGTATGTAAATCGTTAGATAATTTTTTTTTAACCAAATAAACTACCCAGTATGAACGTTTGTATAGCCCTTATTAACATTCGGTCCTCAAGTTGTAAAATGTGCTAATAACATTATTCTGAGAGTTATTTTCCTCTGCATTATGAGGGTGCATCTAACCCACGGGGCCGCGCCGCCCGGCACGTTCATGTGCCGTGTTCAGTGCTACATGAGTTTTACCTTTACCCACGGATGCACAATAAGAACGGATTATATGATTATATGAATACTTTTGTGACGTTTCGCTCTCTCAAAAGTTGGGCCATTTTGTCTTCATTCTTCAATGAGCAACTCTCATAGGAATGAACGAGGCCCCGCCTCCCACGCTGTATCCAGTTTTTATTATACATCCATGGTAAAGCCAGCCTACATTTCCGATATTACGTCATATCCATTGACTGTATATATAAATGGACGTAGTGTCCGTGACGTCATCCATAGGATTCTGCAGAGTTGCCGTGAAGCCCTTAGTAGGCCACTAACGGCTCGACTGTGACGTCAGAGTCTAATCCCGCCTGCTCCAAATAAGGGCAAAGAGGCGGAGCCGAGGCGGGACCTGCTGCCTCCGAACTGGAAGTAAACAGAGCTAGCTCAGGCTAAGAAGCTAAGCTAACATGAAATACATGCATACCAAGTTACTGCTAACAGTGTCGTTCCCCTATATAAACGTTACATTCATAATCAAATGAGACAATCTGCAAGAGAATTAGCTATATTTTGTTATTCTTAATGCTTGTCATTCACACGTTGAGAAAAGACGGACTCCACCGCCCGGACCTAACGGAGCCGCAGTGGGCTAGCTCCGGGACGCCGGCTGGAGCTAGCCCCCTGCGGCTCCGTTAGCTCCGGCGGCCACCACTGGGATAATTGGGTCCCCTATTAACATTTGCTCCCGTTTAGCATTATGGCGTCATAGCCATAGACTATAAAAGTCTTACCCAAGGCTGAATCATAAACAAAAATGTATGTATGCATAAAGGGTTACGTCCTTAACTGGCTAATAAGTAACAAGCTAAGCTACCAAGCACACAAACACCTGCGAACGGGGTTAACATGTATAATATTATCATTTTAGACTTCTTGGAAGTTCTGTTAGTACATTCAAGCGCACAGCACGACATTTTAATTGTCTGGTATTTGTAACAATATTCCCTAAAAAGGCACAATCACCACGAACACGGCTAAAGCTAAAGGGTCAAGTACAGTACTATGACTAACTAACGTTGTAGCCTCTATGGTTGTAGCCTAGCAGAGTGGACAAGTTGCTGTTAGCTGACAGTGAGGCATGTAGTGTCCATCAACGTGACCACGCCCTAATTTATGCAAAAACTTTAAGACCTAATATAAATAAAAGGGTCGTGTTAGAAAACAATTCACTCACAGATTCATAATCATGAAGGTGGAATCTAACTATATCGATAATAATATTTATTGCATCCATGGGTAGAAACATGTTTTTTTCTGCTGTAAAGTTGGGCATTTTAACATGGGGGTCTATGGAAATTGCTCCTTTCTGCAGCCAGCTGCCAGTCCCTAGCGGCCCATGTATGAACTGCAGCGTGTGGCACTTCAATATCGGACGCAAATCTGGATCAGCTCCTTTGTAGTC